AGGGGGGGGGTTATTACATTTGCAAGTTTTCCAGATGTTAATAGATTTCGGATGTTCCATGTGCCTATTTTTAACATTTTCTTTTTAGCAAATACGGAGATTTTTCGCACTCTTGTCCTAGTTAAGAGACTCCGTAACTCAGGACCGTTGATGATTTTATTTGCCATGTAGAAAATTGGTTTTCTAGGGATAAGTAACTTAAGTAGTTTCCCGTTGCTTTCCTAAATGTCAACAACTCAATTTCTCATAATCCTGCTACATCAAGTTTTGCGAGCAAGTCAGGCAATATTGATCAAAAATTCAAAACACTCGTCTTTCATTAGAATTGCAAACCACCTTCAGTAGCAACACCCACGCAATCTGTGAGCATGAGACGATTTGTTATGTAAGCATCAGTCTTTTATTATACTCTTGAAAGTGCCATTTTCATCTAATCGTGATGGCGAACTCTGTGAAGAATGCGTTGCTGTGCTGAGAAGAGGGTTGAAGGCAGATATTGGTCGAGCCAGTAGTTCGAACCAGCAAACTGCAGAAAAATGGATTATCATACGGAAGTTCAAAGTGTACCACGCAAGAAAAATGATTTGTAAAAGACAAATTGATGTCGTATAATGTACGACAGTGGTGAAAGTTGCGAATTTGGAAACGACTTCTGAACACTTCTACGTTCCGCTTGAAATAGTGAAAAGCAGTATCGAACCTGTTCAATAAAAGTTCGGGGGTGCTGTTTGAAGTATGGATCACTAGGGAAAACTACACAGGTTTTAGCGATGGGTATGCATGTAGTCAAGTGATGTGAAGGGCTTGTCATTTAGGGAAATATTGTAGTATGGTAGAGCTGTTGCAACATTTATCTGTGATTCAGGATTAGGGGTGGCACTTTGGCTTTAAAACTATTTTAAGAAAGTAGTTAAAGTTAAAGCAAACTACTTTAAACTTTCACTTTATGTTATATGTAGCATATGCTAACTTTAAGCTTTTTAACGTCAAAGTCGGTTTATTTTGTGAAGAAAAGCTTTGTGGAGAAAGCAATGACATTTTTGAAGAATCAATGCAGTTGTCATCGCAAACGAATTCTCATGTATAGTCAACGTGTGGGAATTTTTCCATTGATTTCTCCTTACATATAATCATTATATTATTTAGATCGTCTTGTAGTATAGAAAACCTAAAATAATAAAACGATAATGATTGATTCTAGCGTATAAGATGATCTGAGTGTTTTAATCAAGGAAGAAACAACGAACTTTGGATTTCAAGTAATTTTGCATACTTTAACCTGCTTGAAGTAGTTTAAATTGAGTTACTATTCAACTTCTAAAATTAAGTCACGTTACTACAAGCTACTTTGAACTACATACTTTAACCAACTTTAACTTAAAAGCAAAGTTAAACTGTCATCTCTATACAAGATCTGGTGGCAAGTTCTGCGGCGGGAATTCATCTGGCGTAATTCAAAAATCAAATAGTTCAACTCGGAAAATTCTAATACGTGGATTTCGACAGGTTCAGTCACGAAACTTTACAAAAAAGCCATATTCTAATATTGAATATTCGAACCAATCAATAACTCAACATTTCAAAAAGTCAAATAAGCTAATAGTTGAACAGTTGAAGTGGAAAATTTTGAATAGTTGGATAGTTGAATAGCTGAATAGTTGAATGGATGAAACTGTTTTCAATAATTGAACTCAACTTTCAACTTTGACACTACTCGAATCTTTTGATTCTAGCTTCCGTCGATCAGAAATTGGACTGATCGGAAATGAGACTTGTTATCCTTATATTGAAATTTTTTTCTAAGGATTCGGGTATAGATTAGCTGAGTATATATTATTATCTCATAATCTGGTAATATTTTCTACGTCAGAGGAGTTTAACAATTGAAGACGATGTGGGTATTGATGGCTTGATTTCTTTTAGATTTAGAATTTGGTGAAATTTCTATTGCTATTGAGCGACAAAATTTATATAATGGTCCTATCGGTATCCGTATCTACAGCAAATACGTCTGCGTTGTGCATTCGTGGGTTCAGTGAGTCCAGTGGCGATGGTTCAAGGGGGAAAAAGCGGCTCCTGGTGGCTCCTGATGGATTCTAGAATCCACCAGGATCCATTTTGATTAGTGAATTTATATCAATATTTTAAACAATTTTCAGTTGCTAAAGAAAACAACGAGACTCATATATGTCGGATCTATATGACTTTGATCGAGTTTTGAAAAAATTACGAAAGTGACCATGCATTTTGTTTACAGATCTAAATGGTCTATCTATCGTTTCTTGAATCTAAATGCTTAGAAAAAAACTTACAGATTTTATTGTACACAGAAAGAGAAGAGCTGAAGGATTCATTGTTCATATTATTCTATGACTGAGAATGTGTTACAATAGTCCTGAAAAAGATATTTAGCCTTTTTGTAATATAGACAATATTGTTGGAAAAATAATATTATTTTGTTTCTACCGGTGACTTTGTCTGTGTATTGATTAATTCATCATGTTAAATTGCAAAGTTCTAACAAGTACATAAATATGACTGGGTTTACAACGATCGGTTCAAATATATGAACTGACAGCTATGAACAAGTTTTGTTTCAAATATAGTAGGGAGTGCTAGCTATTGCAAAAAGTGAAAAAATACATGGATTATTGCTACTTACTACATAGTTAATAAATTTATCACTCTATCCCATATTCTTATGAAAAAAGATTCAAATTTCATGTTTTCATGTGATTTACAAGTTATATTTTTAACCTTTCCCTTGACAGCTAAAAGAGTTGTTGGATAACCTTTTACAGGATGTTAATGATTACGAAACTTTATGTTGCGAAGACGAATATCATGCTAAGAAGCTACAATAGAAAACCTTAAAAAGCAGTTTTGTCTAACTGGATAAGTCATCATTTTCGACTAAAAAAAAGCAAGCGACAGCGATAAGGAGTAGATTCACATATCTTCAAATATCCACTAAGACCATAGGAATCCACTGGAATCCAGCAGGATCCAGTAGAATCCAGTAGAATCCAGTAGAATCCAGCAGAATCCATAGAATCCGCCAGAATCCACTAGGATCCACAGAATCCGCCAGAATCTACTAGGATCCATAGAATCCGCCAGGATCCATGAGGAGCCGCGAGAATCCAAGGAGCCAGGAGTCGCTTTTCCCCCCTTGTGATTACCACATTCATGATTTATCTTCTTATAAGTCAAACTTCCGAATTCAATGCTTTTTGTTTTCTATATAAATACTAAGAAACGAATGTAATTTTATCACAAATACTTCGAAGAAGCCAATAGGCAATACAAACTGATCATCGTTCTGGTATGTTTCGTTACAAGCACTATTTGTGCTACTATCGACAGCACTCTAACAAATCAAGCAAAGGCTTTGCTTGATCAATTAAATTCGCAACAAATGGACGTTATTCTGTTCTGGAATGCTGTATTAATAAGAGCTGGCGCGAATGATTATGATACTTCAATTGTTGCCACTCCCGATCAAGCAGGGCCAACAACAACATCACGTGCCTTCGCAATCATTCATGGGGCGATGTATGAAGCTATGAATGCTTTCGAGCAAACCTAAAAGGCGCTATTCAAGTTCATTAACATGCCCAAGACAAACGATGTTCTGTTTAATCCTGCTATTCAAGCAGCTGTTACTCAAGCTGCATATCAAACTCTGGTATCGCTATATCCAGCACAAAAAGTGCTATTCGATAAAGCCCAAAGTGGCTTTTTGAATACTCTCAGGAAAGATTTACTAGCACAACTTGCAACTTCAGAGGTACTGCTGTGGGATATCTTGTTGCTTCCACGATTTTATCAAATCGAAGCTTGGACCATAGCCAGGATAAAATTACCTATACACCAATCATGGAACCAGGCTATCACCAACCAGATCCAACTCATCCCAACCAATCATTTCTTTCTCCTCAGTAGGGTAATGTTAAGCCTTTTATCATTCAATTTGGATCACAATTTCGTGCATCGAATACTGTTGGTGAGAATGCGGCGGGGCGTCTTCAATATATCAATTCACCAAACTATATCAACGATTACAACGAAATTCTTCGATTGGGATCTCTCAATAGTACCGACCGAACAGCTGATCAAACCGAGATTGGCATTTTTGCGGCTATGAGGGTGCGCCTAAAATTGGTGTGCCACCTAGACTCTTCAATCAAATAGTTCGTGTCATTGCTATCCAAAGAAAGAATACAGTGCAACAAAATGCAGGCCTATTCGCTTTAGTGAATTATGCTATGGCCGATGCAGCTATTGCCGCTTGGGACAGTAAATATTACTATGGATTTTGGAGACCTATTGTCGCTATAAGACAGGATACACGCAGCACTCGTAGTATTCCAAACTGGTTGCCACTTGGAGCTGCATCAGATGGATCAGGTACTAACTTTACACCAGCATTTCCAAGTTATGTTTCTGGACACGCAACATTCGGTGGTGCAGTTTTTGGCATACTCCGATTATTTTACGGTACTGATACTATGCAATTTCAGTTGCAAGCTGATGAATACAATGGAATTACCAAGGATTCGATCACCAATCAAATACGACCAGTACGAGCACGATATTATCAATCATTTACACAAGCTGAAGACGAAAATTTTCTCGGTAGAATTTATGTGGGTGTTCATTGGCGTACTGATCAAGATGCAGGCAGAACAATGGGGCAACAGATAGCTTCCTACATCTTTACACAAAACGATTAAAGAATGTTCCTCCACAAAAACATTTTCCTATCAATTCAAAATAATAAAATACAATGTGTGCAACTAATAACCATTCTAGAGCTTTTCTTTCCATTTTCGTGTGCTACTTAGATTGAAGTCTTATATCGTACTCTTTATCTTCATTTGTGTTTGTATTTTCTCATTCTTTCTAATATATTCAAGATTTTATATTCCATATTTTCAAATTGTATTTGAAACATTCTATTTTAAATTTTCTCAAATAAACCTGATTCGAAATTATTATCACTATTAGCTTAGTTAATGGTATTCGTGAAGTTTAACTAGATATTTTCATGGTTAACCATCCGTCTCAATAATGACGACCATACATAATTCTGTAGATGAACTATAGAGAAACGAATTACTTTACAGAACGAAAAAAGAAATCGTGCATATATGTGTACATGTGCAGGTGTATTGCATCACTTTTGCTTGCTTACCTATTTCTAGATTAATTTCTTTACATTTGTGCTTTAAGATTATTTTTATTTGTAGTTGAAATAAAAATTATTGGGTTTATTTAAAATAACTGTTAACGTGAAGTACAAATGTTAATAAAACAAAGAATCGAATATTTTAATGGCATCAGTTATCTTATGATTTTAGCAAAACTGCTGTATCATGATCACTTGTTCAAGCAGAATCAATTTATGATCGACTTACATTATAAAACGCTCTTATGATATACATGCTATCGAATGAAATCAGTAAAACATGTGATTATCTCATCACTCGTTCGAAAGTAGAATTGAGTGAAATGCATCAAAATGATTTTGTGATTTACCCTGGTAAATATATACAGAAGTAAGAAGATAATCACTATCACGATTATTACAATTGTCAATGAAGACACTAAGTTCGAACTTAGACATAATGATGGATTATGCATGATACACATGTCTCTTCTGTAGAAATTGATCTATGACTTGAGCAGTCCTATATCTTATTAGTCTGTTTTTCTCGTAGTAGTAATACTTCAGATGACTGTTTATGGTTCAGCATCCTATTTATTTTATAAAAACAGATGAAAAATATGATATATAGAACATAAGGCAATAGCATTTATTTAGTTTAATGAGACAAGGCACACTGTTTCAAAATGAAACTAAAAAACAAAAAACAAAAACAGAATAAAATCTTTCAAATACTGTATTCTCTTGATGTAGTACTAGCTGTTGATGATGATGAAATTGATGACTGATTCGGAAGTGATGGCGGGGTATCAATTGAGTCATAAGTTAAATATGTTGACTGTAAATTAATAATGGGTCGTCGAGTGAATGATTGAAGAGTCTTTTTTAAATTAGAATTATTCGATGATGATGATAATGGCGAATGAAATGTTGTTAGATGATGTGCTTGCTGTGAAAAGCTTACATTCGTATGCGTAATCGATTGTTGTGTATCTACATTTTCTAATTTATTATCATATATTGAGTGTTGCCGTGGAACTGGAATAGCATAATCAACACTAGTTGAGCTAAGACTTGATGAACGATGTTGAGGCGTAAGAAGAGGTCTCGTAACACCATGTCCGCTGGAACTTGATCTTGATAAATCATTACTTCCATAGCAACTATCTTCTGAACTGACTGCACTGCCCGAGGCTTTGATATCATCATAGGGTTCAATATGATGATGTTCATTCAATTTCTAAAACATTGATAGAAACAGAAAAGACTAAGATTATGCAATATAATAAATATGAAGCCATGCATAAACATGTGCCGGTTATGCTCGTCTTATTTGCTGCCATTTCCCTTCGGATCATTTCAAGTTAATTGGCTTCGATGTGTGGAAGATGCACTCACACATCAACTTGCTTCACGACTAATTTCCGCTATGTAGTGTTAAGAGAAAAGGGGAAAATTAATTGCTCTAAAGTATTTCTTTAACACGCACATTGCGCAATCAAATTTTCACTCTATCCCTATAAGTAATATTTTAAAAGGTGTAACGAGAAAACACATCAAGTTTATTTTCAAGCGTTATTTCTCTCGTAGATGATTTTTGAATAATTTCAAAACAGTTATCGGTTTAAACGATCTGTTTAATTAGAGAAAAGGAAAATGAAGGTTAGCAAAACTAATGTTCATATATGTGAAAATGTTTTCAAGGCAAACAAAGACACGAAGATTAGAACAGAACACGAAGACCTTGGCGATAAATTAGAAGACACGATTAAAAAAAAAGAAAACTTCTATGTCAGCTTACTTTGCTTGTTGATGAGAAAGTATTTATATTATTTGTCGCAAGAAGTTTGTCAGCATCTGTTGATTGAAGTAATTCACACTGCGCTTTTAATGATGATCGATGACTAATATGATACTGTTTTCGTTTACAAAACACAGCACATACAATGCCCATTGTAATACTGATTACTAATGTAAATATCGATGAAACAATAATAATTATAAAAATCATTTCATTTGTTAGGATATTCTCATCGCCAATTGACTGTTTTGTTTCTACGATTTCATCTGAATAATATAACTTCTCTGCATACTCTCCAAGTTTAATATTTATAATTACTGTTGAACATTTTTCAATTTTATCGCCTTGATCACATACTTTTATTGTTAAACGATGATATCCCTGTGGTAAATTATTTATATCTGAAATTATTGTTCCATTATATAGATTTAATTGAAAATATCCATTGTCATTTCCATCGATAATTTTATATGTTAAATTTCCATTTTTTCCTGAATCATGATCATTTGCAATTATGTTTGTAATAACGATTGTTGTTGAGACATTGCTTTCTAATAATTTACTTGGAATATAAACAGATGATGGCGTATCAATAATTGGAGCATTATCGTTTACATCAATCAATTGAATAGTTACTGACACACGATCAGAATGAAGATCATCATTGTCTTTAGCTGTAATATAGAAACGATGAATTGAATGAATTTCATAATCGAGTAATATTTTTGTACGTAATTCACCCGTTGAAAAATCTACATAGAACGCATTTTGATCATCGATAGATGTTAATTCATAATTCATAATTGAATTTAAATCCAAATCAATAGCTTTAACTTGACCAACAAATGTTCCTATAGGAACACTTTCAAATAATTTAAATGAATAGAATTCTTTTTCAAATTTTGGTTTATTGTCATTCAAATTATTTATATGAATAGTTAATGTTTGTAAGGTTTCTAATCGTTTAGGATTAATACCGTGATCGGATATATTTAATATTAGATGATACAGATTTTTTAATTCATAATCGAATGAAATATTTTTAACCGATAATATTCCGGTTTGAGAATCAATATGAAAAAATTGAGAATCATTCGAAACTACCAGGGAATATGAAATAAGACTATTCGATGTATTTACAGCGTCACAATCTCGTGCATGAAATTGAATAAGTTGAATATTTGAAGGATTATTTTCATTGATATTAATCGGTGTTGGGTATGCATCGAGTATTGGTGAACAATCATTAATATCGATTAAACGAATAGTTAGATGTTTTTCAGTTGTTAACGTTTGTTCTGTTCCTTGATCTTTTGCTTCGAAAATTAAATTATATTCTTCTTGTTGTTCTCTATCAAGTCTACCGATAATAATTAAATTATATAGATCATTATATTGTTCATTTAATTGAAATAAATTTTGATGTGTCAATAATTTTAATATAATTTTATTATTGACTGAATCTTTATCACTCACACTTAAATGAAATAAGCGTGTATTAATTTCTTGTTCTTCATCGACATAAAAAATATTTTTCTGCGAATGATTATCTGGTAGAATAAAATCAATTTCAGGTGGACAATCATTTACATCAAGTATGTCAATTTCAACTTGAGAATAAACACAAACTGCATCAGGTCCATTATCACAAGCGCGAACACTAAAGCGATAGTTCATTTCATATTCGTAATCTAATAATTGAATTAATTCAATAATTCCAGTTGTAACATTAATTCGAAATGGAAAAGATGACGATGGATTATCCGTCATAATTGTATAATTAATTAATGCATTTAAACCTTCATCCTCATCATACGCATGTACATGAATAATTTCTGTTCCAATGGGAGTATCTTCTCGTAATTTAATTTCATATTGTTCATGTTCAAATTTCGGTACATTATCATTTGAATCAAGAATAAAAACATCTAAAGACAATGCACCAATATGTTGACCGTCACTGGCTAAAATTTTCATTTTATAGAGATTTCGTCGTTCGCGATCGAGAGATTTTAATAAACGTAAGCCAAGTTGATTTTCTGTCTGTAAATTAATAATAGAAAATGTTTCTAAAGTTTCCTGTTTATATGATATATCTAATGGTACAATACGGTATTCAAGACGATCTTGAAAATCTAAATCAGTTGCCGCCGGAAATGATGCAACATATCCGAGATCAGTATTTTCTGATAAACGAATTTGAAATGTCGATATGGGAAATAGGGGTTGATTATCATTGACATTTTCAATAATAATATCTAATGATAAGATATCAATTTTTTTTGATGCAGATGCAATAATTTCCAATGTTAATAAACATCGTTCACAATTACATGTATGTGTTTGACATAGTTCTTCGCGATCAATCATACGTTTTATAGATATACGTCCAGTTAGAGAATCAACAATAAAAAATGAATTATGTGGACTTGAATCGTATAGGAAGGAAAATTTTATTAGATTTTTCGATGATGATGGATAAACACGTGTTAAATCGTAGATTGATGTACCAATAGAACTTTGCTCGTTTAATGATATCGATGGTAATCGTTGTATGGCCGTATGAATTGGTTTAATAAAAATTAATAGAAAAAAAATCGTCGACATGGTCACATTAAATCTATACCAAAAAAAAAATAAACGAACAAAATTTAAGAGAAAAATAAAAATGTAAACTTTTAATCGAATAATTAAATTTTCTTTCACTACTTAGCAATGAGATTGGATTGAATCGATACGTACAAAAATAACCTGTGAGCTACATGCTCCTCCCAATTTTCGAATTAATGACCGATGGCTTAGAAGTGTGAACGCTCACCATCCATCGCGATGTCTTTCTTTCTCTCGTGTTCGCCGTTTGTAAACAAACTTGAGAACAAAGAAAAGGATGATGGATGTATATTGTGTACTACAACTACAAAGTAACTTCCTCTCCGGAAGAATAAATGTATGTGCATCTGAACCTTCCTGTACGTTCTCGAGCTATGAAGACAAAGTAAAGATTAAACGATGATGACGACATAGCCATGATTGATTCTTATTGTGTAGCCGTCAAATGTCGATAGTGACAAATGAAACGTCCAACAGTGTTAAACTTACTACATCGACAACAACAATGATTTTTGTAATCGGATCAAATCAGCGACGGTGACAGTCTGACCACATATAGAACAAGTGAGACAGGCAGACAGTCGGTCTCAATTTTTTTAATTTTATTAAATAGATTATGTAAAAAAGAAAATCTCCCTATCCAAGAATAATGTCTTCATTTTATGCTGCAGAAATGGATCAAGGAGAATAGAGATATACATGCGCACACTACTCTAATTACGCGGATAACTCAAATGCTAACAATAAGAAATCTGTCTATTCAATAATATCATATATATATATATATATACAGTTCATCGTATGATTAAGAATATTTGATGTGCTCATGTAGACACAAATTCGATCGTGTCTAGGCGGGACGATGACGTTCGAATTATTAATTTCGAATCCTCTACATACATTCAATGTATACATACACTCACCACTAGTCAAATTAAAGTTCAGGGACAATATGACATACGTATATACATCGAGGATGAATTATTTTATTTTCACATGAGATACACCTTTCACGCCTAATTTGCACACACGTGATGAACGAATTGTGTGCGATGAATAATCTAAAACTAGTCTTACATGTGTGTATATATAGATGTATGAAGACAGACATACTTCCACTTCTAATTGAAATGTAAAAAATATGTATACGGATGATAATGATGTTTATCAAAAGAGTATGCGCTCAATGAATCGATTCAATTCCAATTAAATGATTGATATTTAGTTGATCGTTTGCATATCGTTCTGTTCTGTCTCTCTTAAATATTCTTGATCAAGATTAATAATTATTTTCGACTTGACTTAAGCTTAGACGTATACGTTTTTTCGGATGACGAAATCTGTCTGTGCGCATATACAAAAAGAAAAGAAAAGAAAGAATATAATAATGATAAAAATGATGGCAACTGTTGAGTCGATGTTTAAACGAGCAGAAGAAGAAGAAAAAGAGGATGATGAGACGAATGAGTAAGCGAGCCAGTGAAACTTCCGGTTGAATGGTCCAACTCTACTGATAACACCCGTCTACTATAACATGGATAAGACAAGAAAAAGATGAACACGAAGAAAAAAAAGAGATTTTGTTGAAATGTACATATAGAATGACCGTAGGCCGAAGTATGATTTTGACCTGATTATCAGTCTATCTCATCGTTTCTTTTATTCTTGTTTCACTGCCTCTAGCTAAAGCAAACAAACTAAAAGTAGACTCATTGAAATTATGCTGTTTCATCTTGCAAGTGCACGAAATAGTCATTCATCAATGTCAATACTCCATGGATAGCTCGAACTAATATTGATATTTTAATGATGTATGTATATTTCTTCAATTCTAGACAACAGCTGGTTACTTACGAGAATTTCTGTTTTTTTTTTCAAAGTCAATTTTGTTCTATGAATAAAGCAATTGTACAACGTACTTTGATAATAGAAAGAGACTATAATGAAATAAGAAAAGAAATTTTTTTTACTTGCTTTTTATCATGCGACGATAGAAATGGTTTCTGACGGAAACATCCTCTTTTTTTTTCTTGCTCGCTTATTATTAATTTTTTTCTATAGGATTATGCAGTCAGATTGAAACAAATGGTACTGTCGGTAACGGATGCGTCAAAAGAAAGAGAGAAAAAAACGAGTACAAGCGATGAAATAGGAAGGCAAATGAAAGACAGTGACTGCATCTGACTCGTTTATTAATTTGACATTGAATTATCTTCTAAATTTCACTTTTCTTACATTATCAATGACACAGAAATGATATGAACAATGACAAGCAACTAATCGAATGACAATCATGTATTTTCTTCGGTTGAAATTTCTTTTTCTCCTTCTCTTTGTTTCGTTTATAATTATTCTCATATGTATTCAAACAGGTACCACACTACTGGTGTGACTATATGTGATGGAATACGAATCAAGCATCAATTTCGAAGGTCAAGTGAAAATAGAACACAGTAGGACTATAACCTTTTGAATCAACCAGTCGCGCTGGTCTACACACACACATATATATATATATTGACTTTGAATCACTGAATGAACTGAAATACAAATTGGAGTGGACGATGAATAAGAGGGAGAGAGAGAGAGAATAAGACAAAGACAGATGAATAAATGAAAAACAAACTTGATCAAGCTGTTCGTTCATACTGTAATTATCTGCATCTCATTCATGTATAAACAAGGTCATTCAATTGAAAACTAAACGTGACATAGGAGCTGAATAGAAATCGTTTGTACTTCATAGAAAACAAAAGCTGGAAGTCTCTTGTGAAAAAATGATGCATGTTCATCAAAAACTATAACAATAATAAAATGTTGTCATTAGTAAAATGAGACGATTATAGCTCTGGCAAGCAATTTTTGATCTTTCTAATTGTCTTCCTGTTGTTTCCTATGATTATCTGCCTGTGTGATGCGACATTTATATATATATAGATGTGTGCAGGTGATGCATTCGTACGCCTATTCAATTTAAAAAATTTGCATTCTTTTCTTCCTTCTTTTTGTTTTATAATGCATGAACAGGCTGATTGTCAATTACTTTCTTTTCAACCAAATGATAATAATATATAGTTGGTCAATATGTCCGAGTGTGTTATTCCGGCTTCATAAAAGCTAACATCAATATTGAGGTACTATTAGTAAATAAAGAGAACTAAAAAGTAATAGATAATATTGAAATGGAAGGAAATGTCTGCTAGCCTACATATTAACTGCAATGCTATGAGATGTATATAATAGCTAGATTTGGCCATCGACAATAGTCACTAGATTAGTTAATGCGGGGTAGTTGAAGTGTTGAATGACACGACGTTGTTCATAGAAGAGTAGTAGCAACTAGTAGACACATATTTTATTAATGATGATGACTACTCGCGGTAAAAAGAACGATGAGAAGTGAAACATGTCGATCGACATACCAGACATGTGACTTCGAAAAGAAGAATGAATGAGCATAATCTACATACATGTACATGTAAAGAGTTATCTTTGAAGAGCTTCCGGTGATTGTGTTGTTCTTACTATGGCATGCATACTGAATGGAAGTCAGTTCCGCTCTACGAACTCAATTAGATATTTGTATGGCGGATCTATAATGGACTACATTTCCTTTTTTGAGTCTTTCTTTCTCTGCTTCCCTACTCGACCGCAACAGTTATCATTGAAACAAGGCCAAGTGGTCAATATTCTTTTTTTTTCGTTCTTACTTAACCTCCCAGCTTCCTCTCGTTATCCTCTAGCACCTGTCAACTGTGTACTTATTCCGATCAAATCTAACCTTCAACGTTGAATAGTATTGACTTTTCTTTTTAAAAAAAGAGAAATTCATTTTGTTCTTATCAAAACACATGTGCATGTATATGTTCTCGCGCTCAGCTTCTTCTACATATGATTTAACTTTGCTTTAACAATGCATGTGTTTTACAATTCTCTTACTATTATTGATTAATGTTTTCAAATCAAATATATACATGTACATATGTATATAATATTCATACGTCTTAATAAATGTCAACTTTCACCTTTATTCAATCGATCTCATAGAATAAAAAAAATAATCATATAGTAACTTATAACATGGTACTTACCTTCAGCCGTTTCTTTTTCGTGTAGACAGTCAAATAATATAAGAAAGTATGATGATGATCAGACATTCCGCCCAAAGTGGCATAGCTAATGCTACTAATACATTTGTCCTTATATCCATTACTACTCCTTCCTTCTTGGTCAGTAAACTCACTATCGTAATTCTGACATTTTTCTGTTCTGCTTTTTTCTCACATCAAACTATCCTATATATATATATATATATATATGCGCCTAGAGTGAAGCACGACTTAAATGAGTTCTTCTCTCTTCTTTCTTCTCCCTGTCCAGTACATAGAACATACAAACAAACACATAAATTCTCATTTCCTATTGAGTAACAAAAAAATGAAAGAAAGAAAAAGGAACTTCATCAATCCATTTTTAATAATAAAAAGAAACAGAAGAAAAAAGTAAAAATTGCTAACGGTGAACTATGATCTAATTTAATCTATAGAAAATAGTCAAGCGATTATCGTTAATCAATAAACCTAATAATCATCAAGAGTTTCATTAGATTTAATAGTGTCACGTTGTTTTAATATCTGTCCCATGTGAAATTGTGCAATGAACGAATAATAGTTGACCTTCTGCAACTGCGTTGGAACTTACCCGATTTTCTTCTATCTTAAATACAATCATTAAATTATACTATTGTGTATTTCAAAAAAATCTACGTTTGCATGTGTAACGTTAATCTGATCATAGTGGCAATAGATTAGAAGCGATTAGAAGCGAAAGAAAAAGAAAAATCGGCGAAGCACTTGATAAGAAAAACAAATGACCTTCTTCCTCGGTCGATGGACATCGTTTAAGAAAGAGAAGAAATGAATCACGATATTTATCATCTTTGCTTCTCGTTTACGTCACAGATATAGAAATGATCATTGACCGGCAATGACCTTTTATATAAATATATATATATATATATCTATACTAGAGATTATTGCTTATGAAAATAAAAGCGAAAAATTAATCGTTCAAATACAATTAAATACTAGAAGAACTTATTAGCATACTATGTATATATTGGAGACATCATCAACAGAAAATGTAACTAATCAATGAACAGTACGATAGCTTGCAAGGAAATAATATTGAACATAAAAGGGCAAATATTATCCTACACTATATTACTATTATGTCTATAGATCGCTGTGTATATTTTTAACGTCTGATACGTAATAATAATAAAAAAATAGTCTTAATACCTGTTGACATCCGTGGCGATCAAAAGGAATCATCCAACAAAAAGAACTAACATATCCTTTTGCATAACAACATCTGACAATGCAATAATTAGCGGTTATCTATAACGGCTAGCAATGCATCTGATGATTTGCACTTCACTTCGTCTCGATCATATGCTGCATTAGATTCAAACGTCTATATATATATATACGACTGAGTATAATACATTTAGCATGTATTACATAATTTTGTTTTTTATTGTTCAATCATCATCATCGAATCGCACTCAACGGCAGCGACAACTCATTGCACACACACATATATATATATATATATATATATAAAGAAAAGAAAAAGTGAGAGTGTATATTGACAGTTTTCTTTGTGATTATAATAATTAAACAGATCAATACTTTCTTCCGTTGTAAATATATATACATACAAGAGTGTTGGAAGCAGAATAAGATGTTATCAGGAACATACATTCATACATCATAGAAAAAGCTTATTTTAAATTCGCAACGCACGATACTCATTCGATACGTTGCTTACATAAGTGTCTGATGTTATTGGCAATACAATACGAAAGAATATTGAAGTTATATATGTAAAAGTCACTGACATATTCGTCCTATTATTACAAGAAAGGGAGAGAGAGAGAGAGAGAAACCGCAAACTTGAATACGTCTCAAGCATATTCTTTTTCATATAGAATTTAAGTTTTGAGCAGTCAAAATGAACATACATATACAATAAAGATAAAATAAAAATTGAAATCAATCGTTTATTGACAGATATACAGTTTATGATGTTGAGTTCTAGACGAACTGTAACTAGTAAGTTAAGAGTACTCATCGAAAAAAACATAAAAGTCATACGATGTGATTGAAGCGGAAACAAAGAAAATATATTATGTATTTCCTCCGGGATATGCTGTATTGATTGAATCTTTAAAAGAATAAGAAGAAAGACTAACATTATTTCTATTGATTCTCTTTGTTCTTCGGTTCTATTCATTGGCTATAACCTTCATCGATATTTCCTTATGTTTTTCTTTGACTAGAACTCAAAATAATATTGAGTATAACCAAATTGTCAATGCATTCAACATAATCATTTTGTATTGTAAACCATATGTGGAATTTATGATAATAATACAAATCATATTTATTAGTACGTGTTCTTACAAAAGCTCTTTATCATAAGCCGTCTTAGTTTTAATAGAAATTTATCGATATTACGTATGATGAGATTAATAGACAGAATTAAAGAATCTCTTCATAGCATTTGAAAGAAACATAAAAAAGACGTTTCCATGAGTTTCGTTATGCATTATAAAAGATTACAAAGCTAAATTCGAAAACAATGAGCATTAGTACGGCCATAATTAGATTCATTTTTTAAGATTTACCATTGTTCAACTGAATTCATAATGAAAGTCCGATTAAACACATTAGAAACATTTATGCAGCTACGTAATCTTTTTTTTTTACTTTGATACAGTAGGAAGAAAACTTGCAATCGCATGATCCAATTCGAAGGACATTTATTGTTAAATTTTCGCATTAGACATCAGCAATGGGAACTAAATTTACAAATGTGACCTTCTTTTAAGGTTTAAATTTAATCTTTAAATGTTATCCAAAAAGTTAATTATAGATGAGAGGATTTTCTTTATTATCGATCAGTGTCATTTAAAAAAAACTAGGTTCGATGCACTCTCCTATCATTTTTTTTTTACTTCATATTCACGAGATTTTCTATTAGTTCCATATAGTAATAGGTTTTTAAAGCGGAATTGAAGACATATGCTTCAATGTTAATATTTGTAGTATTAGTTATTAATTACAAGGATTACAAGTGTGAAAAAACTAAAATATTTGTTCTATGAATCGTCGCCCGCATGAACCAAACTGTTTTAAATAGATAGTTTTGCATAGATTAAATCAAACGATTGATAAATGGCTCGGCCTTTAAATGGTCTACCTTTCAAGTTCACGGTCATGTCATATCATAATGCATAATCTGAATTTTACGGTCGGAAATCATGTCTTTTTTTGCCACAAATTTATAATAACAAATGAATAATAGTTTGTATACGCATTTTCTTAATCAAATAAGATAAACAAATGGTTGATTCTGCGATAAGAATGTTATTATTATAACGTGTGATATTAACCTTTTCGGGTCGGAGGTCGCATGTATACACGTTTCCGGTTCTGTGACAGTGAGATCTATCGATCCGTAAGACTTATTGCTAATCTAATTGGCGTTGGTACAAAAGATATACACAAACGTTGTCCTATCCTTCGAAAGAGAACTGAATTCGCATAGGATGAGAACCATCCTTGTAGAAAAAAATGAAAATGAAAATCTATATCGGTCGTCCATAATCGAATCTATCATCATTATTTAAAAAAAAACCCATTGCATCTAAGGATTGAGTGGTGAAAAAAAAGGAACCAACTAACTTACTAGAGGTCAATTAAGACCATGCTTCGATAAAAAGTTCATTTGACAATCGTTTTAGGACAGCTAAATATAAATTTATTTGCATTTCGTGTCCTTGCTTGAGAAAATCAAGGCGATTTTAAGCCTTGTGATGATCGACATAACGGGAAATGGTGGAAATCTAAAAATAAATACTCGTTCATTGTTTATAGGCGGCGAAAGTAATTTTTCATTTGATTAGATATTGATGAAAAGATATAGTGTGCCGTCATCTGAGCCAGTACAGCACATTAACTTACGCATTGTTTTGCTCCGACTGCTTTTGTTTTTTTTACACTTGATAAATCGCCGCAGGCGAGAATCAATTATTAATTTATAGATAGATAGTTGTATCATATCATGCAAAATGTCTGTAAGATCAAACGTAGACGAATACAATAATTATTTTTCTTTTTTTTTATCAGGATTTAAAACAGTAATTGTCTCTCGTTCTACCAGGTAGCAACTTTTTGTGTTATGAAAGACGGTTCTCATGCAAACGAGATTTTACACGCTTAGCTTTTATTTTTCGTTTCAAAGCAAACTCTATGCACAAAATAAAGCTCATGTTCATTGTGCTCTCTCACTTGTTTATGGCTTTCAAGAACTTGATTCTATATTACCTAATGTTAATTGCTATGAGATTGAATAGGCAGAATATTTAGCGTTTACAAACCTCAACGCAGAGTATGAAATCAATATCTTCTCTGTGCACATTTCGTTGATGAAATGCTATTGGCTGTTTCAATTTAACAAAGATGAATGTTTTGGCGGTTTTGAGGATTTCATCTTCTAACACACCAATAGCTGACTACATACTCATGTCCTCAGGGAACTCAAATGTAATCTTTGTGAAAGGAATGCGGCCAGTAAAAAAAGATTAGAATTTATGAGGTATCTGTGATTCATATTGCATATAAGATTCGATGGATGAACGTGATGATGAAAGCAGGGAATTGCAGGTAATCAGGACTCAATTATCTAATGGAACCATTCAAATAACAATTATACTGTTTTTCTCTTTTGAGTACAGAGGCACACAATTACAAAAAAAAAATATTGCCATGTCATATTTTTTATGAAAACAAAAAGTCTCTAAGAGATTATCAGTGATATTAGAATGACTATTTTGAGACAACCATTATAGAATATAGAACGAATCTGGCTACGATGATGCTCAATGATGTAACAGAAATAAAATGCTACACAAAGTTAATTCTGGATGTGATCTTCATCTCTCCGGACTCTTTTGCCACAGTTCACCGATATATTAACTTGCCATCTGCATGTGAATCCTTGTAAAACGATAAATGAGATGCACACTGAAGTAATTGCAACAATTGTGATGTACCTTCAGTGCAGTGACGATACGATTCGACTTCAAGTAAAGTCAACCGATCGAAGTTCGGAACCATCGACCAGAAATGATCAGTAACCGGAAATCTCACTGTAAGCGTTTTAACTTTATTAAATATTAAATTAGTCAGTGGCGTGGAACTTGCATAGGTAAGATCATAAATTAAATTATGTACGCGATCACAAAACCATTGTTTATCCGTTTGAGGGCAGGTTGATTGCGAAAATGCTGCCGAATTAACATGAAATGTATTGAAAGCGTACGGCAGCGTATAGAAAAAAATAAGAGACACATCTTCATACCAATCGTATTGAATAAATTGTTTTCTTTCATCAATCCAAAACGAACTTCGAAACGAATTGAATAAATTATCAATTTGCTCTTGTTCGTCAAGAAGAAATACGATTTCAAATTCAAGACGTTCGAGTTTCGTTAAAGATTTTCGTATGATTTCCTCTAATTCACTTTCAATCATACCATACTGCATAGTTTGATCAGCGGTGGTGAACATTAATTCGCATAAATTTATCATTTTTGGTAAAAGACATACGATTCTTGAATATTCACATTCCAGTAATTTCAATCTTGTGATCATTTGAATAGATGAGGGTAATTCGAGGTTATACAGCAGGCATGAGTTCAACGCATCAAGCGATTCGAGACGAGGTGTGTGCTGAAAGATATCAGTCAATCGGCAGTATGCATCATTTTCATGCCAAATATATAGATGTCTTAGACTCGATGAGACCACGCTCGGTCCAATGGGACAGTCCACAGATTCATAGTGTCGAAACGCATGATTAATATTGCAATGCGAAAGATTTGGTAGACTCCAAATGGTATTGATTAGAATCAGCGTATTTTCCTGGCGTATCGTTAAGTTGCAATACTCAAAAGACAAATGAGTTAGATTCGATAAATGCGGTAGGGCTACCGTGATTTCATTCAAAATATTATCATCAAGATAAAACAAAACAAGTGATGTCAATTGAACGAATTGGTGAAGTGTAAAATTATACGTATAGAGTTGAGCCAATTGTGCCCGCGTACCGATATGATCAATAAGGTGAACGTGATTAATCTTATTTATCATAGATGGAAGGTAGTGTTCACAAATTTTTTGAAAATTATTCATAGATAATGAACCGATTTCAAACGTACGTATTTTAAAATGGTAAATAACAAGTGATTTCAAACGAGAATTGAGCGAATGAAATGCTTGTAGCAATTCAGCCGTTGTCAGATATTCGAATAGGTCCAGGATGAGCTCATTTGCCAGTGCTTCTAATTTCATGTTTGATGAAGGATTCTGTTTTTCAATTGTATTCGATAGACTAAATATTGTAGACAGAAAAGAAATTCGGATTATTTGTTCTCTTACTGCTTTCGATTCGCGCTCGTTGGGTTTCCCCACCTATTGTGTCACCTTTTCTTTGAGTTATTCTACAAGATTAACAAAATGTATCGAAACGATCTGTTGTGTTTTCGTGTTCTTCGATTAAAGTTGCCCGTATTGACATGATTTTCTTTCTGTGACAAATTTATTCGAGAATGGAATAGTTTGCTGAGATGTGACACTCATTTTTAAATCCACATAAATCAGAGAAAAAATACATTAACGACAAAAAACAGCAGTTGACAAACAATTGTTCAGTTCGATGCTTCACTCTTTTTATGTGCCTTTCAATCACGTGTATTTAACTTGTTTTGTATGTTATTACACAATCATGCATATTATTATCTCTAAAGTAAACATCGTCAATGATTTGCTCGCTGTACACCGATCGTGTTTTTACCCTATCATCTGAATTTGAAATGAAGAAGAACAACGTGTTGAATCATCGCTCCAACAGATATTAGTTGAAATGAAATCGAATAGCAGACGATTTTGGTTTCAAAACTGATAACAATTCATCTGACTAAGTATTGAGATTAATTCTAAACTTTTATCATTATATAATATGCTAGATTAATATTGAAACAAAATAGAAAGAAAAATTGATTCATGTGCTACTATCCTTTTCTTCGTTCTGGATTTTTAAATATATACAAGACGCAATCGTAGATGTCATTAAGATACTCTATATAGGTGTTTGAGTTAAAGGCACTCACTCTGGTATTGAAGACTTCGAATGAATTTTGAGTCAGACAATCAGTGTCCGAAAAATTAATTGATTTCAATTAGGAGTCTACCGGTTCGAGAATCTCTCAAACATATCTCTCATCTTTCGGTATACAATATTTTGTTATGCTCAATTGCCAAGTGAAGAAACACTACTTGTAAAATATGAATTCAAATTCCTTTGCGTGGTCTCGCTAAAGTGTTTGACATCACTGTTAAATTGAAAGGTACATTTTTGTACCTAAAAGTACTTCTGTCAGCGAAATATTACTTTGAAAAACAAATTACTCGAAATACATGATTACGCATCTGTTTAATATTCTGATCGTGTTATCTTAGTTTTATGTAATGCATTTAACAGGATATTTTTCAATTTCGTGAAATAATACAATTGTTTCTTTAGTAATTATATTCTCATTTAATCATCGTTTAGCAATAAACAAACACCGTTGAGTATCCAATGTGAAATGTCTTTTTTTGAATAGAGATTAGCTTCAAATACTAAACCAGTGCCCATCGTATTTCTACGATTACTTGTGACATAAACTGGTGTGAGTAAATAATTTGTCATATTAGCTCGATAAGTTTCAATAGGTATTATCTTAATTAATGGCATCATTTGAATAAGTTGTTTATTTGATTGTTCAGTTAGACAATGATTTTCTATATCCCATCCGGCACCTTCTAAATATAAACCTTCAATTAAACAGATGCTTTGAAGAGATTCATCAACGGCATCTAAACTCTCAATGAATATATTTTATTATTCTTAGATTAATTGTTCAAACCTATATTTTGCCATTTGGTAACATGTGTATAAAATGTCACTTTATCTAGAGGCCATTGATTTTTACGTGCGGCTATTTGTATAATAGCAGCTAAATATGATTCGGGTACATGTAATCCACTTAGATTTATTATTTTGAGTTCACCTAAATCAATAAGACAACAAAAACAAACATTAAAAGTCTAAGATACGATGGAATAATCATTTACCCGTCTGTATCCAATTTTCATACTGTTGATTTCTTCGTTGAAAGTGTTCCATCCAACTGCCAAGAGATTTCTTTGTTTCTGGTGCATATGATCTCCACAATGACGGCAGTTGTCCATGATAGAGATATTTATTGATTTCTTCGAGTTGAATTGAAAAACTGATTTGACCATTTAAGGCCTGTTTTAATTCGTTCAGTGATTTCCACATAATCGATGTAAGTAGATTAAATCGTTGGATTTCTTGCAGAAGAACGATCGTCAAGGGTGTTGATACTTGTTTGAATTTTTGTTTAATACTATTAGGATCCTTTTTTGGTGGAATTTGTTGAAGTATATCATCAATTAATGATAAAACAAATCCTGCACGAATAAAATAAATGAAATCTTACAATCTAACTTATCAAAAACTACTGGGTCCCAAGAGTTTACTATTATTATGAGCCGAAAATCACATCCTGATAGCTATATCTAATATCAATGTTTTCTCCGCGATAGAAACATATTTTCAACGAGTGCCCTGTCATCAGAGAAAGTTCTGAACAATCTACCATCTCAAGAGAAAAAATATATTCTTTTTTTTAGGAAAGGTTTCTGTATATGATATAATTCTTCTGATTACTTCATAAGTTACAACATCAATATATCCGATGTTTAAAATACCTCGGCTACTTGATCAGTTTTCTTGCTGAAAACTGTCAGAGTAACTCCTCAGTAGACCACCTATTTGATGTGAACGATCTTATGCAAGTCTTCTTCTCAACTCCTAATACCGAAAAAAATGATCTTTCTTTGAATACGTATGATTCTGATTCTCTACCATTGACATACCGATGAAGTCTAGGATAATTTCGCTTAAACATGAGTTATATCGACGGGAAATAATTTTTTTTCTTACGTTCTCTACTTGAATTATCTTCAATATCATGTTGTTCTGGTTGAAGATCAAACATATTTGAATAAATTTCGTCAGCTACTTTAGTTAAATAGTTGATTTCTGCATTTGCGTGTAAACCAAGTACATCAGGTGGATTATAAAGAGGTAAGCGATCAACGTAGGCTAGATAAAGATCACGAAATATCGAATAATGAAAGAATTGATTGAATAGAACATTTTTCGATAGAAATTGATAATCTAATTGCTGAGGTTCAATTGGATTTGCATCGACGTTGACATTACGTTGGAAAAGACTTGAAATTTTATCAGGTAAAACATGTTCGAAATTATATTCAATTTGAGGTTCGATCTAAAAGACAGAGAAGTAAATAAAATGAAAACAAATGATAACATACTGTTATATTCGCTTCTTTTAGTAACCATCGTCGTTTAGCTGATAGAAAATCGCGTAATTCAGGAATAAAATAATCACATTTCAATGATTTATTTGTATCATGGAAGAAGTGAAACGGTTGTAAATGATCAAAAACGAAATCTCCAAAATATTCTTTCATGTAAGTTCGAATTAAACGTTGATCATACGAATCAATCACACGGCCGCCATAGATGACTATAATAAAAAATATTTTTTTTTTATAAAGACTTGATTTCTGTCTGTTTCTACGGAAGATCAAACTTTATTCAAATCTTGATCGCTAGAGAGCAAAAAACTGTTCTTGTTGTTATACGGAACCATTGCAATCGGTCAGTTTCATTATGTAGAAATCTTGCATGGTTATGACGTTATATAGTAAACTATTTACTACAGTTTACACTTCAGTGCTCGATTTGAATTTACCTTCTCCAATTAAATATCGTAATGTCGGCCATTGAATTGCAAGACTACCACGTTCTAAACTCATGTTTAAGTAAGCTTTTAAAATATCGACCGAAACATAAACTAAAAAAATATTGCATAGATTTCATTAGTTGATTAATCAAGAGGATTTACAATCTGATTCATTGAAATCATAAATGCATGACCATCCGATTTTATCGTATTTTCTTCGATCAAGTATAATTGCATGAAAGAAAGCAAGAATAAATATCATACATGGATATGCCGGATGATCGGATTCAGTAAATGTTTGTAAATTTAAATTAACAAATGTCGAACGAAGATTTAATTTGATTGTCGAAGGAGGTTCTATGACGACTTTGTAGGACTTTTGAAGAAGTCCGACTGACAAAAACAGATAATGATTATAATCTTAAATATCTAAGTAGCTTACTGGGAAATTTTTCAATTGGTTCTGTTGTCATCCAAAGACGAAAATCTGGCTGGAATAAAAAGAAATATATTACAATATACATGATTTGTCTATAACTATTCGAATAATTATTCTATATAAACGAATTGTAGAATACCATCTTTCTTGTGAGGGTAGCGTTGTAGATACACCCCCCACCCCCTCAGGTATTTCTATAAGATTGATTCCCTGAAGGTAGAAAATGATGGTCTCATGAATTTAGCATGTTTCTCCGATTGTCATTATGCGCAAACGATTCAGATTTGACACATGTCTAATAGTCAGATTTAGTATTTCTATTCTCTTCTATCTCTGTTACTACGATTAATGTTATACAATTACGTGCGATTTAGTTGATAGTTCCAATTCCTTTTCTAATTCGTTCAAAAACGATAAAAGTAAATGACAATTTTGAAGTAACAGCCACGTTCCTTGATGTTGAGCTGTATGCAATGCTTGTAAAGCAAGTTTTTCTTGGCCTTGACCCATGGCAAGTGTTCTTAAAGATTTGCGTTCATCATTTCCTGTTGTTCCATTTTCAATATTAATGTTATGAATTTGATTTTTTCTTTCTGCTAACTTTTGAATATCGTTTGTTGGATCGGACCCCGGTGAAAGTATGAATACAATCGGTATTTGTGATGTTGATTGTTCAAATATAGAATCAAAATAAATAGTCGGTGGAGTAATATATTTTTCTCCCATGATTTTAGTAATATAATTATTTATTGCAAAAATAATTCTATTTTGACAAAAACATCTTAGTAACATTAATCGTTCAAAATCATTGAGTAATTCATTGTATAGATTAGGAAATGGATAGTTTTCTGGTTCATCACATTCAATCCATTGTTTCCAATCATGATGGTATTTTTGAATGTGCATTGGTAAATTTTGAAAATTTTCCGGAAATATTTTCGATAGATATAAACAATGATGCCAAGCATCATTTGTTAGCCAATTAAATGCGGGCTTAGTTTTCATTGTTAAAGATCTATCTAAGGATAGGTTACCTTTGAGAAAAAAATCTATTTGATGATAATTAATTTTTTGTTCGTCTAATTCAATTTGTATAGTTATTAAAAATGAATATAGTAATTTATGTTTTTCAAACATTCCCGTTGTACCATAACAATAAATTTGATAAGTCAACGTATTTATTATAGATTCTAAACGTCTGTTCAGTTTTAAATTTGTTTGAGAACTTTTTACGCTATATTCAAAAACCGATAGGAAAGAGTTTAATGAATATTGATACTAAAAAAAACGAAGAAAATAGATTAGCTTTGGCTGTGCAGTATGAATTTTGTCATCGAAAGAATCTACAGAAACCGAAAGATTTGTTTTTGAAAGCATAGCAAATTATTCTGGTTCTAAAGAACTTATTTCAGCTGTCAGGCGAGCAATGATGAGCTGTGACAAACCATTGAATTAATAATTGACATTTGAACTAATGAGAAGTAAAGTACAGCACCACGTCTAGCAGCTAATCGATATGTATCACGTAATTTTTCAATATCTTGTCGAGTTCTTTCGCCTAAATTTAACGCTTGGGTAACTTCATTGACTTTTATTTTTGTATTTTCTAATGTTCCAATTAATTCTGTATTATCAAGAATATTACTAAATTAAGCAACAACACAAAAATGAAGGCAACGCTTATTATTGAAGAAACGAACCCAGTGCTTGTTGTTAATTCTCTTAAAAGCGAATCTTCGAGCGATTTTTGTTGGTGTTGGTTTTCAAATATTTCCTGAATTAATGTTTCACGCATTTCTTCTAGTTCACGTCGTTCGATTTTAACAAGAGACGATAACAATTGCTCTTCAAGACCTTTTAATGTTACTGTATAGTTGATTACTTTTGAATAAGAAAAATGTAACGTTGATAATATTGGATTTGATAAACGACAAGTTAAATACATGCGAAAATTTCGATCAATATCAATATATTTATCACCTAATTTAACATATTGATGAGTGGTGTCGCCTTGTAGATTCTTTGATAAAATATCTAAGATGATTGGATCGATGTATTCATCAACATCTTTAAAAAGAACCGGATATCTAAAAGGTATATATATATATATATACACATTTTATGATATTAGCGAAGATATAAAACTGTTGAATCTGTCCTTAGACAAAAGACTATGTTACAGGTTAGTTGACACTGTATTTTTTATCGTGACTTTAAAAGGTCGAATTTTGAAATGTCTGGATAAATATTTAGTTGAGAGTTTGACAAAGACAAGAGCTCTTTCAGTCTCTTCTATATGTAAGTGTCGTCTGTCAAACAAAAACAATGACTAGATGAATGATGAGACTCTAGAACTTACCCATATTTAATAGCTAATTCGAAATGTTTCAAAAAATCTCGATCACGCATTGATAAAATTTTTAAATTTGCTTTTCTTTCTCGTTGTTGAATCCATAATAAACATTGTAATTGTGGATCAATACAATAGGGAAACCTATTTGTTTGTAAAGTCAATATACCATTTTGTATTGAAAATTCATCAGCTGGTAAACCTTGAGAATTCCATTCGGATATTTCGACATTCGTCGAAAGAAAAGTTTGTATTTGAAAATTTTTTGTTAATAAAATCTTTTTCTCATCTAAATACTTTCTCCATTGATTATTCAATAATTCTTGACGAATTTCATATGAAAATGAACTACAATAAGCAAGAAATGCACTTGCTAATAGGCAATTTCCAATTAATTCATTTTCATATTGTTTCATCGAACTAAGTTCTTCTTTCCACCGTGAAATTTCACTTTTAAAGCCACTTAAAAGTGTTTCGGCTGCTGTGCGGCGACGTAGTGCTATTTCGGTTTCCTGTTGAAATTTTAATTTATCTTCCATAGCTGTATCAAATCTTTTACGAAAATCATCCAAGATATTCGTTAATTTTTCAATACTAATTTCCAGACGATTTAATTCCGATAGATTATTTTCATAATCATTTTGTATGGAAAATAAACGTTCTTTTTTCGGTTTTGTTTCACGATATTTATCCATATAATTATCAATAGCATGAATAAACTTTAATAAACTACCACCAACTCGGCTCACATTCGTCATTAATGTGACAAGTTTTATATCGCGTTCAGACTTTTCCAACATGGAATATAGATGATTTGGATCAAGTTTTTCTTCTAATTTTTTTAAATAGATTTTCAATTGTACGGCTTGCTTTGATGTGAATAAATCAGGATCACGAGTTTTTAAATTTGTTATAAATTTCATGTCAGCCATGACGGCTCGAACCTATTAGAAAATTAAGAAATTGATAATAAAAAAAGTAATAAGACTTACATCTTTCCAACTGATAGATGGATGGCCTAAGTAAATTAACATGCAATAACCAATTAATCGTAGTGCATCAACTGGATTAGCAAAACTACGCATTTCAGTGATATCTGTTGATTTAAGTGTATCGAGACCTTGCTGAGCGTCGAGTAATGCTGGCATAGTTTCGGCTAACTGTGATTCAGCTTCATGTTTCTCCTTTTCGATTGTAATTAATTGTTCATCAACTATTAGTTTTTTTTCTAATGCCTAAAATATAATCATATTTGTTTAACAATATATTAACGTATTCAAATTCTTATTAGTTCTCTTCGGAAGTCACCGACACCTTAGTTGGATGTTTCATGCTATTTTGGAAGGAAAAGAACTTAGCTGAATATGAAAATATCATCGAGAGTTCTTCCTAGAAAACTCGTTCAGTACTCACTCGACTTTTACGTTCTGTTTGTTTCGCTGTTAAATCAGTTATTTCTGTTAGTAAATCATCGCATTTTTTTGTTTTTATTCCTACAATAGAAGAATGAATATAGTGATTTAATATTCAATTTTTTCGAGATAGTATTTTATGAAATAAAAAAAAATGGACAAATGAATACCAAACATCGTATCTACCTCATACTTACCAAGTTCTTTACGTTGTTTTCCTAATTTTTTATCCATTTCCTCTATAAGTATACTAGCTTCATCGATGCGAACAATTCCAACGTTTAATCGTTCGGCTTGTTTAGATAGGTCTTCTTTTTTTTGTTGATAAAGTTGAGTAAATGTATGTATAAAATCTAGATAATTTTTCGGCGTTGCATAAGCGCTTCGTCGCATTTTTTCCACATAGAGATCACAATAGAAATTGGCTGATTCGTGAACCATACCCATATGTTCAATTATATTATTTTTATATTCATCCGAAATTAATTTAAAATGCGATATAAAATGTTCCGCAACAGCATATCTTCGGACTCAATTTATGTGAAAAGTCATATCAAACGAATAAACTTACAGAGCTTGTTGTGGCCATCGATCAAAATAATCAATTGTCGTATTGTTGATTAACGCCGGAAAATTTCGAGCTCTGCATAGAAATCATATAAAAGACAATTACGCTCATTCATTCCTGTTACAAGCATGTTATTCGTTTTTGAAAAAAGCTTTATCGATTAACTATCAGTGATGTAGCCCATCGGAAATGATCAGCTGCTGGTTTCAGCTCGGGCATATTCTTCTTCCGTCAAACTTACCGATTTCGTAAAAAATTTCCACTTGGATTCATGCATAAAATAACATGTAAATTCAATGTACATTTTGCAATAAAATAATGCCAAATATTTTCATTTATTGATTTTTTAACGTACTCCGTTGCTTCTGCACGTATTTCATTAATAATTCCATCTCTTTCCTAAATCGATAAGAGTTAAAAACAAAATAAATTCTTCAATACTCTCGTTTACTTGTTCGGTAAATAAAGCAGGAACAATACCGTTTGATAAAATATTGTTGATATATTCAAGAAAACTTTCGTCAACAATTTGCGCATCATGGAGAATAAAAGCGGTTTTAACATTTTTTAATCCGGTTTGATAAAATAAATTTTTTAAATCTTCACGAAATAATATTTCATTATAGTTTCTTGTCAATTGTATTTCGAATATTTGACACTTAGCAGTAAATGCAGCAATTTTTGCGAGTAATTTTTTTCCTGAACCACCTGTCCCAACCAATAATAAATGTCCACGATCTAAACGTAGCACACGATAAATACGTGTTAAATGTTCAAGTGCATCATTAAATAAAACAATATTCATTTGTCCATATTGCTCTTTATATTCTAAAATAATTTCATCAAATAGAGATTTTATTGCGTGATAATCTTGTAGATCTTCATAAATTTTTGGTTCATCTTCTTTCAATACCGTACGATAATCGCTGAAAAGAATCGGTTTACGAAATAAATAATTTCGATGAGGTTTTAATAGAGAATTATTATCAATAATTGTTTCTAAAATTCTACTAAACAATTCGTGATCTTTTCCAGCATTGAAGCGATCAGAAAATACGCGAATACATTCATGTAACCAAACACGTGTAAATCTTTCAATCGTATCAAACCGTTCCGGTGTTGCTTGTAAAAGACTTTGAATGATACGACTGAGATCGCGTAAAGAAAATATATAATAAAATTTTGCTGGTGTTGGAACAAAGGATCGGAGAATAGCGTCGTAGACTTGTAAAGTAAACTTTATTATATTTGGAATTAGTTCTTGAATTTCTATTGGAAATGTTGTTACATGACTTTGTAATATTGTTGAGAATATACGAAAAAGAGATTCATACGATGGCGGTGAAATATAAAAAGTACTAAAATGGCTGACAAATCGTGGATCGATATTATTATTACTTCCACCTATAAAAAAAAAGAATAAATATTTAAACATGTTCATAGTCTAGCGAGGAAACCACAGTGATCTGATACCCCTCGTTTGAGCTTAGATTGCTTTTTGAATGTTCGACATATCGTAAAAAGAATGTTCTTTTCGACTAAAAATTTCCGGGTAGTCTACAGATTATTTGTCCTAACATGGAATGAAATTCAATGGGTCGAATGGAATATGTTCGCGTAGTTTTCTCGCCCGAACTCTTTACCAGGTGTGCTCATTGCAGCAATCCAATCGATATCTGTAACGAATTTCCAATTAAATTCTTCATTTCGTTCGTACATTCCATGTTTTTCAACAAGTAATTTAAGTAACGCAATAGCTTGTTGTGTTCCATATTGGTCGATTTTCGGCATAGACATATCATCAAGAAATATGATTAATTTATTTCCAGCTGATGGGCCATAAGTATCTTTCGAACGTTTCTCTAGTTGAGTTTCGATAGACCGTTGAACGTCAATTGATTTCGTACGTGACGAGAAATTTAAAATTAAATTTGTATACTGTGCATCAAAATGACGTATGCAAGATAGAATAGTTGCTGTTTTACTCGATCCAGTATCACCAACGAATAGAACAGGTTGATGAATGGATATCATCGATTTAATGAGCCATTCTAAATTTAAATTTAAATCACTTTTGCCTATAGACTGCGAATATCTACTCTCGCTCGGTATGTTTTTATCATACCTAAACGAATCGTATCAACGGTTTGAACAAGTAATTCAGTAAATCGTTTTGACCGATCATGTTCGTAGCGCGGAATGAGATCCTTCCATTTAATCCATTGATCAATATCTGGTTGGAATATATAATCAAATAGTAGAAGTTTTTCATCTGGTAATTGTCCTGATTTGGCTTTTGAACCTATAGGTGCATTTGAAAGGCCTGACAAATATCTAAGAAATGTATCGAAAAATATTCGATCATCTTGTTTAAGACAAGCACCAAATGACCAAATTAATGTTTGAAGAAAAACAGCATGAATTTTATCTGCATCTAACTGTAAGTGATCCTTTTTCTCATGATGAAGCAACGGTAAAAATAATGAATCGAGTAGTTTTGTTAATTGTACAATAATATTAACTTGAGTTCTATGAATAAAATTATTCTCTCTATGTATTTGTGTGCGTTTTACTTACAATGGAACAATCATTTTCATTCGTGGTCTTCGTTCTGTTTCTGTTTGACCAAAATAAATAAAATTTAATAGATTTTTTGTATAGCGATGATAAAGTAAATCTAATTGATCTTTTTCATTCGATCGATCGATTAAATTCGTATTCAACCAACGTTTCCATACGGGATCTGGGCCAAGATTTTCCGAATCCAGATAAACCATCCCGCAACGAGATACAGTTGCTGGTGATGCATATTTCAAATCTCCAACTTCGAACAACAACGAACAATAATCTTGTAAACGAATACGTTCACCATTAGCTAATGTTAATAGTTTATTATCATCCATAACGGAATTCTAAAAATACAACAACACCAGTTCGTATTTATTATACCGATCGGTAAGAATACCATATTTTCAATCCAAAGTGCATCAACATCGCCGTCAAATACAATATAACGTCGTTCGTTACGTGCTGTCGGTCGATTTATCGTGCGATAGAGCACCGAAACAACTCCATCAGTCCATTCTCCTACAGATGAAAACATGTGTTCACTGTATTCAAATAAAAAAATATTTATAAACATACGTGTTAATGGATCAAGTGTACCATATAATTCAGCAACACTTAATGCTTTAGGATTCAATATGTATAGATGTGTTTTCATTCCCATTTGAGTCTGCGCTTCGGCTAAAGTATTTAACACGACCGTCTTCCCACCACTAGATTTTGTTTTTTTAATTTTAGTGATTAATTTTTCGTGACTCACCCTGTTGGTCCAACTAGCATCGTTGAATGACGGGTCATCATTGTCTCATACAATTGAATTATTTTCTGTATTTGTTCAGGAACTAAAATATAATGTTGACGGATGAGTACATCGTTAATAATGTTATTTAGATTTTCATAGGATATTTCTGGACAATGAATATTCGGAAATAGATCACTTAATAATGTAAGAAAGAGATGAGCATCTTCATAAATAAATTTTGGTATATTCGTATCACGTAGAGCTCTTAGTAGAACAATTTCTTCGAGATCGTCTTTCATTGACGTTCGTTTTAAATAACCCGTCATGGATAAAACAGCTTTGAAACTTCTTAAACCCCAATCATAATGATACTAAAATATCCAAAAACATGAAAGAAAATTTTTTTTCTATCTACTAAATTTTGCATACTTGTTTACTAAGTAATTCTGACGCATAACGATACAATGTTACCATCTTTTTTGCTAGAATTTTTGCATGTATGAAACCATTAGCAAATAGTTTTATTTCTCCGATATATTGCATATCTGGAACGCTGAAAGAAAAGTTATATTAGAATCAAAACAAATGCCGAACAGAGTCTCTTTAAAACTAAAATGTGGAACTCACATACATATTTTTGTTAGCTTCAATATTTATTTTTCCCAACGCTACAACATCATTAATTCATCTCATCAGAAAATAAGTGTTCGACCTCTGACTCCGAAAGTGTATGTGAGTTTCACCAATGAAAAAAAGATATTTACATGACAACAACAGGTCGAAACAAAGTTTTAACTGATTCAGGTAATTCTGTACGACCAGCATAACCTGGATTCATTGTTACAAATATGCCAACAGTTGATAGAAGTTGAATTTGATTGTGTTCAAATGAAAATTCTTTAAGATGCAATGATAATGCTTGTTGAATGCTTTTCACTTGAGTAGACACAACACTGAGTACCGATGCTTCGATACGATTAAACCTTTTTTTTTTAAATTGAATAATGATGCGTTAGAAAACACGACTACATAAATAACTCACTCGTCAAAACATCCCCAAGCACCAGTCTGACATAAACCATTTAAATTTTTACCTATTGATTGATAATCCATGCCTAGAATTCAAGTGAAATCGAACTTTCATTCACAATGGTCAGCATCGTTTTCTTCGTGAGACGCGACTCCTAAAAAGATAGAAGAAAACGTTACCTTCGCCACAATTGGTAACAACACAAAGTAGACCCATAGCTTTAGCAAGATCTTTAATTGATTCTGTTTTCCCAGTACCTGCTGGTCCAGCTATATGAAAATTCTGAATACTATGTTAAAATTCTATATTTGACATCATTCGAACCTGGTGCGCAACCAAGAAACATTGACAAAGCCTAAAATTAGAGATACTCCAAGTTTGTTATGAAATCTATTAGAAATTCTACAAACTTGCGTAACGGTCAGATAAATTCGATCAGTTAATGGTGTAATAACAAGACGACCGTTAAGACCCATGTATTCATAACCTATTTTTACAAAAACGAAACATAAAAAAAGACCCGATTTTGAAACTATCGATTTCTTTAACCATATTCAAATTTTCCATTGCATTGCTGTAGAAATAGATTATCTTCATTTGAAAACCAATAAAATCGCAGTTGAGATTGCCATGAACTAAATTTACTAGCTATAGAATTTCGTGAGAATATTTGTTTAACTTACAAATCATGACGTTCATTAATACCATCACGTATTAAAATATCTACCATATCACGAGTATGAACATCGATGGTAAGAACTGTTTCAAATTTGTTATATTCATCTTAGAAAACAAGCGTTCCAGAATCAGATCCAGTCAAAGTTTTCCTTACTTGATTTTAAAAATTTTCTCATTTCTAAAACAATTTCTTCTATTTGAAAGTTAAGTTGTTTAACGTAATTTTTCATGGCTAAACGTTGATTTTGCCTGTTCATTTTATCGAATTGACTAAAAGTACAAGGAACAATATAGCTCTCAGAGTCAAGGGGGGAAAGGCGGATTTTTGAGATTTTCAAAATCCCAAATCCGCCTTTTCCCCTTGATCAGAGTTCTCCAACAGCTGTGTGAACATAGTTCGAATTCGGAACCTTCCTATTTTAGTACTAAACATTTTTTTCTATAATAAATAAACATACTCTTCGATTTCCCATGTACTCCATAGTTGATTCACAACTAAAACAACCATACCGATGTATTTTCTCATCCATTCTAATCTATTCTGTTTAAAACGATAATAAAAAATAGCTTCTTTAGTTAACCAACGGTTTGAATATTTCATTTCTTTTTCAATGTGTGACATCCATATTTCAACTTTTCCATTACATTCAATTGGATTCAAAAAAAACATTTCTTCATTTTCTAATGAAATCATGGCTGTAGCATACATAGAATTTTCGTCACTACTATTTAAATGAACTAGTTCGTCATCTTGTTTATGTTTAAACGCTGATAATTTATCATATTGAACAAAATCTAGAGCCGCTATATTGTCAAACAATTTTTGTAAATATCCTTGAATATGATTTGGATCCAATGAGCCAATTATCGACAGAAGTTCATCATCGGACAGGAAATAGAATCGTGGAAATAATTGACGTTTCGTATTTAAATATTCATTTAAATTTTTTTGAATTTTTTCAATAAGTATTAAAATAGACTTTAGTTCATCGTATCGGCCAGGATGTATACAAGCATCTTTAACGAATGAATTCCTCGATGTTTCTAAACGAAAAGACAAGATCTTCGACAAAACCAAGCAAATAAATTCAGATCAGAAAATACCCAACATTATTTTTCGATATAATTTATCAGCTGTATCAAATCGTTTCGCATCTTCACCAAATTGTAGATTGGAACCAATGAATATATTTTCAAGATACATCCATTTTTGTTGTACAATAGTCCATAATTTAATTACATCAGAAATTAAGGATAAAATTTGAATCCATTGTTCAACTTGTGAAAGATAAATACCAACGAAACGCGAAGTTACTATACCTTAAAAGAACGCAAGATATCGAATGAAACATTCGTTGGAGATTTCCAAATTACTGCTAAGAAGTAAAGTTGAATCTTCGAGTGCTTGAAGAATATCGTCAACACCGGTTATGATAAAGCCACGTTCTTGTTGAAAACTAGTGCCTGTTGTATGACGGTAATGTTTATGTATTTGAAAACGCATTGTGTCCCATTGCTGTTGAATATCATTAAGATTCTTTTCTATTTGCAATTCTTTAATAGCTGTTTGCAAAATGCCTAGATTAGAATTTGTCAAAAAACAAAACAATTCGGTTTTTATTTTTAAATCATATTAGTCTTTATTATCTCCTTTGTTTAAGAAAATTATCAATACTTTGAATTATATCGTGATATTGATGTAAATTCATTTGAAATATATTTTCCAATGTGAGAATGCTGTTTGCTAGGTCAATATCAATATTAGTCTCTTGAATAATTTGTTGCCAATGACGTTCACGTAATGCTTCATTTTTCAAATCAACCATGATCGGAAGTGACGAACGAAAATCTAGTGAAACAAAATAACCCTAACGAGGATAGGTCACCAAGTGTTCAATCGCTTTCAAGTCAGAGCTATGTGTGTCATGTAGACCCCAGCGAGGTATGAAAAACTCCAAAAGGATACGAGCGGATAGGCCTTCTGTCCAGAGTTATAGTCATTTTACTGAAATTTTAGCCTCTGGCATAGTATATATCAACAAATCGAATATCAGTATTTTGACCTGAAATTTTGCCTATTGACAGATCTCTTTGTGAATAGAATGCTCTGAAATTTTCAGCTCAAAAGAATGTTTCGTTTCCGAGATATTAAAGTTCCAAAAAGCACTCATATTTCACGACAGATACTAAAATGTTCTGATTTTTGAGACTTTAATATTTCGGAAACGAAACATTCTTTTGAGCTGAAAATTTCAGAGCATTCTATTCACAAAGAGATCTGTCAATGGGCAAAATTTCAGGNCATTCTATTCACAAAGAGATCTGTCGATGGGCAAAATTTCAGGTCAAAATACTGACATTCGATTTGTTGATATATACTATATCAGAGGCTAAAATTTCAGTAAAATGACTATAACTCTGGACAGAAGGCCTATCCGCTCTTATCCTTTTGGAGTTTTTCATACCTCGCTGGGGTCTACATGACACACATAGTTCTGACTTAAAAGCGATTGAACACTTGGTGACCTTCCCTCGTAAGTATCACAAAAGAAAGATGTTTGCTTTCTTAAATCACCTGACAAATATTTTTCAACTGAATGACCGACGATTGTTGTTTTAATAGCTGGTGATAAACGGCGGAAATTTTTAATAAATAAATCAACATTAACAATTAAATCATTAATATGAAGTTCTGCCCACAGGATATTTGACCACAGCTTTTTATTTCTTTTAAATTCCTCATAAAGATTAAATAGAGTATTTAAACCGTTGATTTCCTTTTGAACGCGTATTAAATTTGGATAGCTAATCAATGGCATATGAAATAGTTTCATTATATTAATTATTTCAAGTTTTCGTTGTTCTATTTTATCAATATCTTGTTCATATTGTTTTACAAGTAGAAATATTTGATCAAGATCACTTTCAATTCGATATGGACCATAGTTATCAAATTTTTCTACAAGTTCATCAATCATTCGTTGAAATAGGTCAATATCGTATTGAATTATTTCACGAAAACGTTCACGTATTGGTTTCAAACGATGTTGTACAATAAGTGATTGTTCAACAAGTTTTTCTAAACGAGGAAATAACGTGTTCATAAGTATCCACTCAGTCTGTGGATATTCAAAATGATGTTCTTCTAAAATTTGATATGATTGTATAATTTCGTCAATCTGATGTCCTATGGATTCTTGCTGTTGATTAATTTGTGTTATTATATTCAAAACAAACTTTAAATCGGGTACAGTATCAGCATCGTGATTAAGACCTTGAAGTAAATTGTTTAAAATATGATCAATTTCTTTAAGTTTATTGGACATGTTTAGATATAAATGTTGTCCATAATGATGTATCCATTCTTTGCAATGATGTTTTAATGCTTGATGAAATTGCTTAAAACGTAATTCAATTGAATAGATATTTTTATTAATTAAAAACCGATCGAATGTTTGATTGATTTTAGAAAAGACTGTCATTATTTCATCATAATCAGAATATGTTCGAGATTTTAAAGCAAATCGGCTTGTATATTTTTGTTTATCACTTTTCCATAAATCATTGTAGGTTAATAATTGGCTAAGTCTTCGATTTAAATGAGTGACTAATCCGGAAACGTAAGAGCGAACTGGTTTTAACGCTGAAGCCTAAAAAGTCATTGAATTAATTTCACAAATTACATAAAGCAAAACTATCTTTTATTTGCGAGTTTGTCGTTCTCTCAGTATGCTTTCCTGTGAATATTGAGGGTGTGGATGTGTCTCAATCTTACGTTCAACAACAAACCCACACCCACTCAAATTGAGAGGTCTAGTTTAAAAGAAAAACAAGATTCACTAATACTTACGACATCAGGATGCTGTTTGACATCATTGTAGAACGTAAAATCTGGTGCTTCGAGATTTTCTTCGTGTACCGATGTTGACGGACACGACAAGCATGTACCATGTAACCATCGTACGAAGTGCTTCGGTAATTGACTGATTGCATGTGCACTACGCCGAATAGAATTGATAATTTCTTCAAGCGGCGGTTGTAGTTTAATACGAGGAGGCGCAAGAATTACATCAATAGTAAACAGTGATGACGAACCGAAGATATTTTCATAGAATTGACATAGATTACGAACAACTAATTCAACTAGAGAACTGAATATTTCATTTTCCCAATATGCATAAAATGGATGCACTAAAATAGGAAATAAAATTCTACATTAATAAAGTAAAGAAATCAACTTACTAGTTTTATGCTTTCCAGTATTAGTACCGAATACTAATGCTTCGATTTTAGTTAATAAAGGGCCAATCAATTCATAACGTCGTTTTAAACTCAGCCCAATATCATGACGTTTCATTGAGAGAAATTCAAAATATTCGCGACAAGTAAATAAACTTCCTAGATAAAAGAATTCATTTTTCTTATTCAGAGCTGGAATATCATTATGATTTATTAAATAAATCCTATGAAATTCATATAAGATTCCTAGATACGTAAGAAAATAAAATAATAACTGATTCGATTGTGTAGATAAGACTCAAAGCTTTTCGGTGTCATAGAGGGAGACAATTGATCAAGATAAGATTTAAAAAATATATATTAATCGAAGTAACATACCATCATCATGTCCCGGAACAGTAGGATCAACAATGCAAAAACGAAAACTTTCAAGATGTTCCCGAATAACCGATGAAATTTTTCGTATTTGATTCAGAATCGAATGAAATTGTTCCAATTTTTGTTTACATTGATTTATATAATCAATATTTCCTATTTCTCCAAATGATATTCTTGACACTCCAGGTTGAATACTATTTTGAATTTGTTCAATGGACGATTGAAGAAGTGATACTTCAATAGTATCAAGTGATGCAATGGTCAAATGATAATCTTCAAGCATTGATCGGAGTTCAGTCGATACTTGTTCAAACTTTGAATATTGTAAGTTGATTTGCATAATTGATTCAGGCAAATTAAATCCAAGTTTTTCTAAGTGATAACATTCAGTTAATGATTCTGTTAAATTTGGATCATAATTTATCAAGTATTTTATTTCAATTTTTTTCTTAGTACCCATTGGATCGAATACATATTGAAATAAATGGCATTTTTCTTTATATAATTTTAATTTATTTACTATTGAATGCGATTGATCGATCGATGTTGGCATACGGTTTGTGTCTTTTTTAGTTATATAAAGTGGCAACCGATATCCAGGACTACTATGAATAAGTTCCACGTGGTTACTATCGAGAAATAGATCTGGTCGTTGTTCAGCATCGATAAGTAAACTTTGTTTGAGATAGATCGGCAAATTTTTAGTCACACTATCAAGCCATTTTGTATAGAGTTCTTCTTCGTATTTTTTAAGTAGAGTACCTATTTCTATAAATCGTTGTTTTGCAGTTGCACCTTGTTCGGATTGAAGTAATTGATCGACTGAAAGGAATTTAATCATTGGAAGTTTTATGCGTTTGAATAAAAAACGAGACCATTGAATAGCACCGGCAATAGGTGGAAGACCCTAATAAATGAATATCCTTTATATTATGCTCGATAATGAAAATTTGAGGAAATCTTCCGTTATTTTTGCTATGATTGAATAGAAATAATCAGTACGATTCAAGTTTGAACTAGCATCTAGTGCTTGCTGCTTATATCAGGAAATATTTACTTTAAATATGGGTGGATTATCTTTGTATTTGACGAACAGATCATAGATGCCATCAATTTCTTTACAATATTGTAAAAGAATAGCAGTAAATTGGCGAACCATTTCATATGCTAAAACATGAGTTGTATCAATCTTTTGAAATTTCATAAGCATATCAAGCGCTGTTTCAGCTGAACGAAGTTGTGTAAACGAAGCCTGTATGAAAATTTTAGCTTCTTGTTCAATTATGGATGAACGATGATTAAATTCTTCGATAAATGAATGCCATTGTTGAGAATTTTCACGATTAAACATATCAAAATGGCATGAAAGAAACGAATTTTTTAAGCCTGCTACATGTTCAAGTACTCGATCAACCATTTGTTCGTCGCCCGTAACAGCTTTCATTTCTAAACCAAATATATCATAGAATTCATTCAAATTAGATAGCATTCTAATTAAATCATCACATATTTGTGACAAATAATCTGTTCTATCAAATAATATTCGATGCTCAAAATTCCATGTTGAAAAATTATGTTTATCATTTTCAAGTTTTGCTCGAGTATTTTGATATTCAATTTTCCATTGAAGTAATAATTGTTTTGATTGATAACAAAGATTTTCAGCTTCGTTTAATGTATACGATGATAGTAAAGTTCTTATATCAATCTTTTGTTGAACTCGATTTATTATTTCATTAGCGATTTTTTCCATCAATGGAACAAATCGTTCATCTTTATTATAATATTTTGACATCGTCCTAAGAAATTTTGAAAAAAGTCATATAAAACTTGAGCTTTTAGTTACAGTAAGAGATGTTATTCTAACGATTTTTAGAACTAATTACAACAGAACTCTTTTGTGCTTCTAAATCATGACGCATGTTTTATATAATTGATTAATACTTCGAAATTATGGTTCATACAGCAATTTCGAAACTTATTTAGAAGAACAGGGAAAAGGCATATCTTTAACTTTTCTCTTACCAGATCGTTTTTAAGCCTTGCATTAAATTTGGTAACATATGAATAATCGTTTGGAATGATTTTTCCATTTGTAACGTTTTCAAGTGTCTATCGATCGTTGATAGAAATTTATAATTATCAGTTGCTTCTAATAGATAGCTTTGAAGTTGTAATTTTATATTATTAAATCCGCACAGCGAAGGACTATCAATGTTTGTTAAAACACGAATAATTTTCATGACGTCATCTAAACGAAGAAAAAAAAGTCCTATTGAACGATCCGAAAGAGCAGCTGATCAATAAATAAACCGTTTTTCATTTGTTCTAAAATCGATGTTACTCGAATAGATCGTTCGTGCCAAAATTCTAATTCAGCCAGTGGACTTGAATTTAAGACGCGTCTATTTAGTTCATTATTCATTTCTTCTTGTAATATTCTTTCCCAATTATAAACAATGAATTCAAAATTTTCAACATATTCCTCGTCTGTTTCATCTCCACTCGTTAATAAGTCTTTATTTGGTATAGTTAAGTTAAATTCACCTTGCATTTGACGTAAAGTTGATTTAATATGTAAACGAAAACGATTTAAACTTAATTGCAATTGATCCCGTTGTGTTAATGTTTCATTTGGTGAAGACTTTAATTCGTCTATGAAAGATATTGTTTCAGAAAAACAAAAAGCATTCACAGAATCCTGACGGAGATTACAATGGCAAGCAAGATATTACTTTCTTGTTGTGAATTAACGGAGAATCTCTCGGAGCTACTTTTCTCCAATATTCTTCTAAGAAATCTTTCAGAAATCGAACTAAGAAGTAAGCCATTGGCTAATAGAAGATTTACGCTTACAAACCAAACGTGTATTTTATCAGGCAATTTTGTTTTTGCATTACCAAAATAAAACTAAGTTATGTTAGGATTCCAGAATTAGAACAATCGGATTTTTCTGAATTACGACGTATTGCATCGAAATATGATGCGGTTATTTCTGATAGTCCCTTTATTTCGATTCTTTACTTGTTGATGATTGTTGATTGGTCGACGGTAATATATCGTGATAGATAAGCGATAGAATCTCTACTAGTGAAACAAGTGGTTGTTCGTCAGGAATAAATCCACAGATTATATTTTCATTCATGATTAAATTCATTTCGTCGAATGTTGACGATTGAATTAAATATTGTTGAATATCTGTTCGAATAAAATAAACGAATGTTTTCTTTGTTAGATTATGATAATGATAATATTCACAATAAAGATGCGTTTGACGATAAGATTTTAATTCAAAATAATAATTTTTATTATCATATTGATTCATAACTAAAAGACGTTGAATATTTTTGAGATATTCATAAGTAGAATCAATTGAATCACCAGATGATAGACGAGCATAGTTCACAACATAATCAACTAGAATATTTGTAAAAAAGTCTTCTTCTTTTTTTTTAGAAATATTCACTTGAAAACTCAGTTTCTATATTAATGGGTTGATTGACGTTTAAAATAAACTGTTGGTCGGTTTCATCGTCATCAAGCTACAAATAATAGCCGAAATGATTTATGAATGGTTTTTTTTTGGTGGAATTTTCATACATCATCAAGTTCTTCTTCGTCAATAGTTTCAATCAGTTGCCAAACGTCTCGTTTTGAATCTTCGCGATGAAATATTAATGCATAGGATCTTTCGTGCAAAGCGGTATTTGTAGTAAGAAATTTATCAATCTGATCTTCATTAAAACCATTATGTCGTTCTAACATATCGATAAATATTGACCTATCAATATTTAACATTTGACATGTTCGACGGCAGAGCCACTCAACACGAAAATCATCTAGCATTTTCTTGTTCTAGTTTTATTGGAAATCTCCAATTACATGAAGTCTATCAGAGTAGTGGCTCATAAGTAAAAAATCGGCGCCAACTATCATAGCGTTACTTTGTAAATTGATACACAAAGAGAACATGTATTGATATTGTACGGAGCCATTGTTAGACTCTCTGTAGATAGGAGATATTCGCTAAAAATCTTTTGCGTAAATTTCATTTTTATTGTTAGTGTTTAGTTGAAAGATAGATTATATTTTCTTATAGATCAGACACTTAATTTGATAAATTTAAGGTAATATTCAGGAAATTTCTAATTTTGTTTTTATACCGTTGTCTATACTCTATAATTATCTGTTTTTCAATGAATGCCTTCGATGGAATAGAATGAAATTGCTCTTTATGGATACTTTAACACTTTGAAAAATACATAAATTAGAAATCTTATCGAGAGCAAATAGATGATTAGTTTTAATTTTCTGAATCGTGAACTTATATCGATTTTTTCATTTTCAGTTAATTCATAGATGTGACACAAGAGATAGTACAATAACCGCGATTCAGTGGAATAGAACTATTTAATCTCGCAAACAGCTTTTTATTCATACTGCCAATGCTCATTTTACTTCATAGAAAATGCCTGTACATTCGATGAGCTCATTCTCATATCCAGTCTGCATCCTTCACAATCTATAGATCTCGATAAGATAACGGATGTAATTTTAAGAATACAAGTTATTTCACAATCTGCTTCGCCAAAAACATTATTGGTATCACGAGGGGGTCTACTAAAGTGAAACAAAATTTTCTCATTTGAACAACATTAGCATCATGGATTCTATTAACATTAAATAATATTTGAGCACATAAAACTTCGTATATTTACCACCTGCAAAAAACGCTATATATTATTTGTCCACAAAGATTCTTCCCTGACTTGAGCTATTAACAAGTACAAAAATAGAACGAAGCTCTTCAAAAGAAGCAAACCTGCTATATGTTTATAATTCCACATTTCAACTATCACTATTTAACAGTAAACTTTAAGGAAACAAATTATTCTTTTACGAGTAAAACTGCATAGAGCCATTCGAAAACTCGAACATCAATGATGGAGACCAAAACCTTGAGCCTACTGACTGCCATAAATATAGCCAGACACATGATAAGTCTTTGCCAACGCAACAGAATCAAACGAAATTTCAAGATATGCAATCGCTTTTCCTCAAAAATTGCATACAGGAAACTGTTCACTGGATACTTCAATCAATCTTCATCCTTCACTACGATGAAAATCTTGCGATATGATTATTATCATGCATGTAAACTTTACGCCTCTATGCTTTATCTCATGAACAATGCAGAAGGATGTGGGCGAATGTGAGTGGGGAGAGCATACACCCACACCCTGTACATAAGTCGTGGCATAAGTTGAAATTCTGGCAAAGAAATTATCTATTTCAGTTTCTTCCTTTATTGTCTTTCTTCTTTCACATAATAACTCGTGTCTTTTCCCAGCCATATTGCTACCTTTTGGAATATCCGACGCTCAACTTAACATATGCTATAAATATCTGCTGATTTATACATTGTGTGCAATCTATATTAGAAATAGGACTTCTACGAAAGAGAGCTGAGTGAGTCGGTAGACGAGCGTTACTTGCATGTTAATGTAGTAGCATTTTTATTTCACAAAATACCATAAATAAATTAAATAACTCGATATCGACCGAATCATCAAGAAGTAAAAGGAGAATGTCATGTAAACTGCTGCAACATTAAAAGAAATAATTAGATTTCTACAAGTATTTGTTAAAAAAATTTTTTTTTTAATTCATTTTAACTCATGTTGTGAATCTTATCGCTGGCTACTTAACGGATTTCAAACATCGTTGCATTGAATTTGGCTTCAAGGTGTTTTTGTTTATCTAGACAATAAAGAAGAGAAAAATGCCATTTATTGATACTAAAGTAACAATGCACTGTTGTCAATTCAATGGCTTGCTTTATATCGTTAAAACGAAACGATACCAAATCTATAAAAACGTTAAAAAACTAGTCTTTTATAGAAAAAGAAAATGATCATTGCGTTTTAAGATAATATAAGCCATGTTTTCTTCTGATCGTCTGGCATCGATGTTCATCGCAGCTGGAAATCTGCTACTTTTTTCAATTAATATAAAAAGTACTGCTATTGTTATCTCTAAGACCTGGTTCAAGTACAGTTCATGTTGATTATTAAAACAATTTCTATCTTTAGACGATCTTTATTCTATGAAATCTCTGAGAAACTCATTGCTGCTTAGAAACCTTATGAAATTTCAGTACAAATAGATCCGAAGTTTTGCATGGCAAAGAATGTTTTAAGTAGTACATCGATTAGAATGAAGCTCGGAGAACATTGTCATGCAAAAAATCAAAAATCGACCGACTGGAAACAATTTTTCTATTGAGAGTCTTCAATAATCGCAAAGGAATATGAAATTTTCCTTGTAATTCACGCTGTTTTTTGTGTAACTTTTGATGGAATTCAATGGACTCGTTCTCTATATAATATTTAAAATAAATCAACAAAGTATTAATATAATATAATCTTAAATACATAAAGGTATTTTATATACGGATCGATTGACGATTGCCCGAAAGCATTAACATGACCCATATTATATCGCATATCGTATAAATTTAAGTTTCTCTACTTATATTCTATTTTCCGGCATTAAAGGAGTCATTTTATGAAAATGAACTTCAAACCGTGCCAAACAAACAAAACAAAATATTAAAATATATTTATAAAAGTAAAACAATAACCCTCGAATATAGATAATATGCATAGCGATTTATATTTTAACTGCGTATTTTTTTCTTTTTTTCTCAAAAACACACAGCTCAACCATTTTTGTACTTATTCATCTTAATCGACGTCACATATGTTAAATATAGTCTATTATATTCAACAACAGCAGCAGCTGTCTCTCGATGATACTACAAATTATGAATGACGTATACTTGTTTTTTTCATTTAACGAGTTTCTTCACCCTTCTATGATCGTATTCCTGTGCTAAGCGCCCACTATATCGATATTTTTCTTTTCATCGATACCTTTGTCTCCTGCTCTTGCGTTCTATCTCATCTCCAGTATTTTTCCTCATATTTCATTTGTAAAAATTTTCATATCTTTGTTTTGATTGAATCATCTGCTTTCTTTTTTAGATCGAATATATTATTTTGTTGATTAAACGTTTACGAACAAAACAAAGCGATGATCAACAAAATAAAATCATCAACTGTTTTTAGACGTGGTCAGCAAGTAACAAAACCAGCTCGTCATTTTCTAAGCAAATTTATTAACGATTGGTCATTCAATTTTGCAGCAATGCTTGCATTTAATTTATTAATTGCTCTTCTTCCCATTGCTGTAGCATTATTTGGAATATTAGGCTTAATTTTAAGAAACTATTCCGATACAGAACAGAAAATTAAGGATGCAATCGTTAATTCATTTTCCACCGATAATATCACACAAGTTAGCATCAAACAGGTGAATATTTATTGAAAAATTTAAAGAGAAAAATTCAGCTTGTTTATTTTTTTCAAGATAGTTGATTTGGCTTTTGTTCAATTATCACAAGAGGCTGGTGGAGTTTTAGTTATTGGTATTATTTTTGCAATATTTGGTTCATCTCGATTGTTTGTTGCTATTGATAATTGTATGTCAATTATCTATCGATTACCCGAACGGTCATTGCTTCGTGAAAATATGTTAGCTTTTGGAATGCTTTTTATTTTCATCATACTTGTTCCCATAATGCTTGCAATTAGTTCAGCTCCATCTGTGTTAATACATGTATTGCCAGGCGCCTCTGGTCGTTTTGGAACATTTATTGCTGGAATTATACTTTCATTAAGTGCAGCATTTATTCTATTTGAAATTATGTATTGGTTAATACCCAATAAAAAAATGTCATTTAAGGTCACATGGTGTGGAGCACTTGTTTCTGCTTGTACACTTGAACTATTTATCATTTTGTTTCCATTATTTGTACGACAATCTATGGGCAATTATAAAGGTAAATTATTCATTTAAACTATTTTATAAGATAAATATCTTATTATGTTGATTAAGGTCAAGTTGGTTGTGCTATTATTCTTCTTCTATTCTTCTATTATTTTGCTACAATAATCATTTTAGGCGCTCAAATAAATGCTTTCTTTTTTGACCATTATCAACCATTAATCGATGGATTAGGCACATATTTAAGTCAAATGCACGACAAGTTTGGTGTTGACAATTCAAAAAGACGATTATCTGATGAGAATACTGAACCATGATCATACAACAATTCAATTATGATCACCGAAAAAAACGCTAATTAATTGAAAAATAAAAAGACAAATTTCGTTCGAAAAAATAAAAATTGGTTTTTGCTTTTATTTGTATATTCCCATATTGGTTATTCATGCGTGTGTGCATAGATGGTCGTCAGAAAAAAATATATTAAAATTAAAAAAAGACTGCTCATAGAATGTTTTATTATTCGTATGATAACATGGAATATATAAATAATATGAACAAATTAGTTAAAAGTAGTGGCGTAACCAAAAACAACAGTCACAGAGAAGCTCAGGCCTCATCTAACTCTCGTATGGCTACGCGACTATTCAAAAGAAATCAGAAATAATGAAGATAAAGTTTTCATCAACTCTAAAAGGCATCGGAAATTTCAAGCCAGTTGATATGTCAGTCGTTTCTTCCTTGGTAGAACACGTCGAATACGAATGTAGACAGATATTCGCTTGAATATCATATTCGGCAATAATGTTGACTGAGTTATAGAGAGCAATCATACACACAATAGTCAGTTCATCTGTTACAATCGACGAGTGAATCATTTTATAGTTCAGTGCATACAGTGACGGCGGAGTCACTGAGACCCATGAGGCCCAGCCTCACTTGCTTTTGTACTGATTATTGCTATTTTTTATTCTTGCATCAAAGTAGCAACAAAGAAAAGTATATTTTGGTATTTTCCAATCTTCTTTTTTTTATACTGATCATTTTTATTTTTACTGAAGTGCAATAAAAAGAAGACTTATTTTCTGCTTGATGCTTTCATAAAATTCCACGCTAGAAAAAAAATAGTATGAGCCTCGTCTAGCTTAATGATGCTCCGCCGCCCCTGAGTGCATATGCAACATATTGATCCGTATTGTCATATTCTCGATAACGAATAAAGTAGCTATTATTACTCCATTGGAAGACTTATCGAATGAAATATTTTTGGAAATATTCGAGTACTTATACGTAGCCGCTATTTTTTATATTTGGTTCACTGAATTCACGTATTTCATTACTGCTAAACTCTTCATTCGACTTATTGTCGTCATGAAGTTGAATTTTTGTATATTCATTTGAAATTTCATTCTTCACAACTTGTTTTACTAAAAATTTATGATGAAATATGTGACCAAAAGATGTTATTGTTTATCTATTCGATCGATAGGATTTTATTAATCTTCATTTTTGCATATTTCATTTAATTGATTCAACATACAAATTGAAAATGGTTTTTGAAAAATTATCAAAATTAACTAAGATTGTTTTATTTCGTATAATTCAATCTTGTAACGTTCCAGAAGACAACCTTAATAGGACTGATGCAGATAAATTTAGCCAATGGATTTTGGTAGATACACCTGAAACACTTCGGTCAACTGCTCTTTATTTTTCATTGTAACCATCCACAAATAGTAACCATTAAGACAGTTGCAACAAATCTTACACGTCTGCAAATAGTCTTTTATGGATCATAAAATGATGTATCGATCTATTCGCTTATTCCTTTGCGTCGTATTCATAGTGCATTACGATTTCTTTGTGTAACAATCAAACGTACAGAACAACCCATGAGTATTTCTATAAAGTAAGTCGTTATATTAGTTTATGTGAGTATCAAAAAAATATATTTCATTTTCTTGTTTCAAATGTGCCTAGTCTTCCCTCTATTAATGAAGATGATCTACCTAAATCATTATTATTAAAAAAAAAATTGATTTACACATGGTAATGATTCGATGTGATATTCAGTTAATTGGTATCTTATTCTTCGTTGTATGCCTAATCTTCATAGATTTGTTTTTACAATTATTGCTGATAAGAATATTTCAGCATTTACGATGGATTTGATTAATGGACAAAATTGATGTGAGATGTTAACATGTCATGTACATTATTTGAATAAATTTGATTTTCATATATCTTTGTTAACAAATGGCCAACCGATTGATTTAGACAATATTCTCAACTCATTCAAACCATTTATCGGTCTATATGAAAAATGGGATATGTGGTGCATTAGTCGATGGAAATTTATGCCGTATATCCCATATTTACTTTCGTTTCCGTGTAAGCCAAATAAGCAAAATTAAACGCATTACGTATCAAATACAGCGAATTCTTAGACTAAGATCTATTCAGCAATAAATTGATTAGAATATTCTTTAAAAAGAAAACATGATTGAGAAATATACAACATATTCTTGAATTTGAAACAAAGTAGTTCATTCTATTACAAAACTTTTCAGTACTGATATATTTCTTGAATAATAAATGTTGTGTATCGGATCGAATTTTTTTTATTGTTTCGTTTTATGCACTATAAAATGAGTCATCCATCTTGAGTTTTGTATTATTGAAATTTGTAAATTTTCTCTATATTATCTTTGGTGTTGATGTTAGTAGAATATCGTATTTTTATTTGTTTACATTGTACGATAAATCTATAAAATCAATAAACGATTGTTAAAATAGGAAAAAAAGAAGAAACGTTCTAATTATTATTATTCGGGTCATTTTTATCGTTCATATAATCATTTCAGTTGAACGTATCCATTTGTGGACACTCAATTATAATCATGTGATAACACGACGCGAATATGATATGCCGACCATTATAATTAGTCATACATTCGATATAAGATCAACAAACAGATTTAATCTGAATAATTATCATCAGCATTTTTCTGGCAAAAAAAAGACATTTTTTTACGGCGAAGAAAACAATAACAACAACAACAGCTAGTACTATTCCATGCGAAAATGTCAACTATATCGTATGCCACTTAGCATATCCGAACCCAGCAATTATATCATACTTAGAAAATAGAATGGTACGGCTAGACCGAACTAAGTTTACTTGATTCTCAATCGATCAATAAACTACTTCTCTTGTTTAGTTTTCTCATCGTTTAAGAAAGACGACGATAATGCAAAAAAATATCTTGATAATCTTTCACGTCTTGTTAAATTGTCTAATATTAATGCTTTGAAATTTTCGCGAAACAACGGTATAACAAGATTGCATGTTATTGAACATGTTTTATTGTAAATTTGAGCATTTTTTAGAACGAAACTTATGAGTAGTGCTTAGAGTGATTGACCGTTTAGCTCAACATCATGCAGAATGTTACTCATTGTTTGAAAACTATTCATGAGCTTTTATCGAATGTATCATTTCATACATATCATTTTTACTAAAATTTTAGTCAGATTTTATTTTTGACAATCAAATAGCAAACATCTTTTTACGTAGAAGATTTTTAATCAATAATCTATCAGATTGACATTAATTGATTAAAATAATGTGGTCAAAATATTGTAAGTTGAGTCTTCTGAGTTTAAAATTGTGCATGGTATGATCTAAACATCCTCTTTCTTTCAGTAACTATGTATAATATCAGCGTTTTCGAAGAAAAAAGTTTAGAGCATTGCTTTATCATCAAAAACATGCTAATCTTTTCATTTGGAAACCCATTAGTACGATTCGTGTTGATCTACTAGAAAGAAAACTTTAGCTGATAGGTTTTTGATTAAAACCTACAATATGCTTAATATTTGATAGAAAATACTTTTATTTTCTCTTTTTTAGGGCATGTCCAAACGTCACGGAACTTATTATAGGCAGTTCATTGTTCTTCTCACCCCAACGTATTAAACAATCCGACACCGACTCTTATTTTTAATCGACTGAAAAAGCTTAATATATTAGCAGATAATATGTATTTTCCTTCGAAATATGCAACTATATCATCGAGAAACGACACCAATCATTTAGCGTAAACAAAAATGATGAAGACAGATTCATTGTAAAATTCGAAGATCAAACACTCAGTATTCGTCTTCCATAATTATTTATCTGTGCATTTTGCTGAAGACAGAGGTAAGAATGTGCAATATGAATAGCTTTCTTGTATCTTATTGGCCATTAGATCAAGATGAATCCTGTCTTCATTATATACTTTCAAGTTCATTTTCTCAAAACAATACTTCTATCTAAATATATAGATGTTTCTGATGGATTTATGCTGTCATTGAAATCACATATTGTATAAAAGTAACGAAATGAGTGGATTCTATCAGAAATTGGATAAGAAAGATTAGCGAAGGTTTTTTTGACAAAGGACATTGCCAGACAAGTTCGTAGATCTGTTATCCTCTTAGTCTCGATTTTCGATGGTTAAGAAAGATGAGCTTGGAATTCTGAACATTTCCGTATATTTACTTTCTTTCTTATTGAGTTCAAAATAATTCTTTTTGTTTTAGAACCAACTTTTCCTACATCTGTGGACCACTTTTGAGTTTTACCAATATTAACTATGATATCCATTCGTTTTTATTCGTAGCTTTTTTATCGAAGTTAATATTGTAGGTTGACGGTGTGGGTGTATGTTCTCCTCACTCACATCTTCACCCCCACACTAGGTAAAAAAAAATTTAATATTTATTTTTTAAAATTAAATCTAACCAATCGTTATACGTCCCCATGCCCCTATATCCTATTTTTCGGTTAAATCTAACCAATTATTTTATGTCCTCATGTCCCCTTCATTTAATCTAAACAGAACAACAAAACATATCATTTTTCATGTCAATAGATTTTTTTAGCACAAACATTTCACAAAATGTTTCTCCAATCTCAACTGAATTTCAAACTTGCCTACCACAAATATAGCGTGAACAAATTATTGTTTTTACTGCACCTTATCAGTGCATCAGTTCGTTTACCATTTTGTTTTGCCCATGTGTGCAGTATAAAGCTACTTTTTTTTTGCTGAGCGATATCGTTCTGTTCTTATCTATTTCATTTGCCTATTCTCGTCGTATACTATTATATTCTAACTCAAGTAAGGATATGTGTTAGGAGTGCATCAATTCCAATCCCAACCAATTCCAAGTCAAGAATTGGAATTGGAATTGGAATTAGAGCATTCCTAATATGTGTGTAGGTGTGGGTATTTGTTTATCTAATATTAAGCCACACTCACATGAATAAGTATTCGAATTTTCTGGTGAAATTTCATTCAAAAGTTATTTTCACACGCTGCTGTGTGGAAAGAAAAAAAGAAGAAAACGATAGCAAGACAAAGTGAAGTGGATGACAGAAAGCACAAAAAGGACATCTTTCCCTCAAAAATATCTGAATGAACAAATCGCTTGCATATAACTCTCGTTTTTTTACCATTGCTAATATTAGATTATTTCAAAAAGATGACTCAATACAATCTCGATAAAGGTCAAATCATCCTTGGCTATTGGAACATTCGTGGTCTGGTTGAGCCATCACGATTGACTCTCCAATATACCAAAACGCCTTATACCGATAAAATGTACCAGGTGGGTGATGCTCCTGAATACAATCGCGATGAATGGCTTGATGAAAAATTTAAACTCGGCTTGGGTTAGTTCATTGAGAGGCTCATTTTAATTAAATCTTCTTATTCACTTAGACTTTCCAAATTTGCCGTATTTGATCGATGGCGATATCAAGCTCACACAGTCGAAGGCTATTTTGTACTATCTAGGTCGTCAAAAGAATCTTATGGGCAACAATCCCCAGGAGGAAGCCTTGGTTACAATGCTCTGCGAACAAGCTCATGACCTCCGTCTTGAATTTGGCAAGTTCTGCTTCGGCCCCAATGGCGATTCGGAAAGTGAAAAGAAGAAGTTTCTTGATACGACAGTTACAGAACACATAAAACAGCTCAACGCTTATCTCGGCAAGAACAAGAGCAGATTTGCTGTCGGAGATAAACCCACTGTGGCTGATTTTCAATTATTTGAGTATGTTGATTGTTGCTGTTCAATCGATGGTGGAAGTATGCTGCTCGAAAAATATACAAATGTGAAAGAGTTACTTCAAGAAGTTCGTGAATTACCTGAATTGAAGGATTACATCGCCAAATCACATGCTCAATTGCCGATGCATATGAAAAGTGAGTTTTATCACCACAACACATATTTTTATCATGTCTATATGCTGTTCGAATTTATTCTAGTGGCCAAGTTCGGAGGAATAGTGGTCGAACAAAAGTGAATCAACAGTGAACGTTCAATCTGACCAGTTTAACAAGAAAGATTGTTTTTTAAAAATAAAGTAATGATTCGAATAATAATTTGTAGCTACGAGTAATGCAGTTATTGTAAGGAGAACAATACTTTTATGAAATTTATAAAGTAAACCTTTTTACTTTTGAGAAGCAAAATTTAGGCGCTACCATATTATTTGCAATAAGACCACTTGTGCAATAGCACAGTATAAAAAAAAGAACATTGACAAAGCTAGTATACGACTGATTTCGACTCTTGCTTAAGGAGCCATCATCCGGTATCTTTAGAATCTAAAACTACATTATTCGAATATGTAGATCATTAATTAGCTCCTGATTCTATGATTGACACACCACTCTAATAACGATATTGATCGATGTTCCATTTGGTTTTTCATCTCTTGGATATACTTTGCAGATTAAAGTTGACTTTCATTTCAAAGTTTCATTCGAAGAACTTTTTCATTTATTTTTCCGGACACAGGACGAGAACATGAATTAATATTATCTTTAATATGTGGTGACATTGGTTATTTTGTTTTATTATGGAAGCATTAAAAGGTTGTAACAATTAAAAAAGTATCGGATATATCCATCATAATGGATTTTATTAGTAAAATTTTCGTAATTAGTGATATTGGCACAATTTTGTATCGCTCTTGCGATAGTTAAATTATAATCAGGAATCAAGTTGATTTTGTTCTCGAAGTTGTCAATAAATAAGGCAAATGACATTATCTTGAAATATATTATTGATAACTAAAGAGAAATGACATACACTTGAATATTCTCATTGTAGTAATAGTTTAGACATAAAATTTCTGTTGATTTTCTCATACGTGAGTCATAATTAACATCATCCAAATTCTCCATTGAAGATAATTCTTGATATTGATGTACTTTTTTATGAAATTTTTGGTGCCGTTGCCACTCGAGAACGACTCACGCTGGCTTAATAGGAGGAAAAATATTAAAATTTGTGATAAAAGTAGAAAATTATTTACAATCTCGCTGAAGTTTTTCATCTTATATTCTTCATCGCTTGTGTCCTCTTCAATATCATTATTATCATTGGAATCAAATGATTGTGGAAGATTCATTGTTACATATTTCCGTGTCGTCATTGTGCATAATGTAAAAATCTGAAGTTCGAATAAATGTAGTTTAGCATATACATTTAATTCTATATTTTTGCATAATACGAACAAATATAAATTCAAGAAAATAATCCCACAACGTTTGAAATTCTGTTATTTAACGGATAAAAATTTACTAGTAGCAAAACGTAAAAGGGTGATTAGCCTGCAGAAAAAATTGCTTTGATGTACCTGAACATAGCAATTCACTAAACGGTGCCACAATCTTTCAGTTGTTGCATCAATAAATGATAAATGGAGAACATGGAGAGTAAAAGCCCATTATGATAATACTGATTTTTCTGCTTCATCAGTTATATTGATTTCGCTAGAAATGATCAGCAGTTGTAAAATCATCAACTATTCCTCCGCATCTTTTAAAATACCTGGAAAGTTTAGTATATTTACGATTGATATTTTAATTGTTGCAATGAATTAATGGAAACTATAAATTATATACATATAAACAATGTTTTTTTTCCAATTTCGAAACACACCGCTGGTTTTATTAACAAAACAAAAATGTTCAAATTCGTCTCATGATTTATGTCTATTGAAAATATCTAGTAATAATTTAAATAAATCATCTAGAACACATCCAAGATTTATAGTAATATCTCGAGCAGTTACTAAGTTTCATTACCACATACAATTGAATAAAAGATCATCGTTTTTCTCGGTTTTATCGTCGACAAGTGATATTTTTTTCTAATTATAATGGTCTTGTGAATTATTCAATATTGCGTAGCACCCTAGACCATTGTATCTAGATAAATATTCATTTTTGAAACGCAAGGTTGCACCTCTGTTAGAGATCTTGGTGCAGTTATGACCAACAGATATAAATACATTAATAGATTACTATGATTATCATATTGATGCTGATGTCAAACAGCACTATGACGTGTTGTGTGCGTGCTAAACAGTGTGTATAACTTTTCACTCACACCCCATATTCATAACACCACCGTAACGCAAAATATGCTGGAGTCTAATGTCCACATAGCTGCATATGGAGGAGAGAAACATAAAAGACGAGCACCGTCTATAACTATTCAATATCAAATATGATCAATGAACACTTTGATGATAGAACCAATCATTGATCGAACCCATACATCCACAGTTGTTATCAAAATTTTTAAGAATATAGCTTTTTAAAGGAACCGTATGCTTAAAGAAAATCAAATTTTTCCAAGAAACGGCACATCATTTTTGGGGACGTAAGTATTAATAAAAAAATAGCATCTATTTTTCTATCTTTTTTGACATCACTAAGCTCTTGTACTTCTACAACTTTTCCAGTATATTTAATAATGGACAGCGCTACCTTTTTGTGAACCAATCTTAATTATAAGATGAAGGATAGAATTAAAAGAGTTCAAGAAATGTCACATTCTACATCATTAAAAACATAATCGGAATGATGAGGATCTACTAAACTTGTAAAAGTGCGTTTTCATTTGACCAGCACTATTTTCACAAACTAGACGAACAATGTATATGCTATTGATGCTTATAAAATTTCACATATTACTCACTTTAAGAAACGTCATAGATCATTTCACCCCAAAAGTATTTTCAACTCACTTCAATTATTACCATTATCTAAACAAACCTGTGATATCTTCATTACCCCTCACTGTGACCATCATCAATTATCAATTGCCCCCCCCTCCCCCCGCCAACTCCCAGTGGAGAAAAAGCTTTTCAGACGTAATAGAAGACCCCCATTAATTAATTAATTATTGTTAATTAAGAACTTTAATTCGTATTTTTACATCAAAATATGCCTGATTCTTCGCATTTTAAGCTGGAAATATTAAGATAATGTGTTCACAATTACAATGACACACTTAAAATGCTGAGAAATCCTAATGGAAATTCTGAAGATTGCCTTAATTTTCTGGAAAACTTTTAAAATAAAACATTAGGAAAAAATGTGGTTCGTAATAGAAGACCCGGGTTCTTTTATTATGGGTATGGGGTGGGGGGTTAACATCTTGTAATGCAAGAACAAAAATACATAAGGGGCCACTCAAAAATAAGGATGTGCACAAGATTAAAATTTCTTTTTTGGTCTCGGCAAAAATAATTTACATGCTATTTCAATAGCTCAGTTTTAAAACCAACGTTTCATTGTGCATCTTGTACAGAAATGATTTCTGTTTCAGACTATATATTTCAAAATGCATAGAACCATCATTCTTGGTTGATATAACAATTATAATGACGGGAACCAAACAGACTTCGATGGATCTCGCTAGTCTGGTCCTGAACATTGAATTTACTAAATTAATCCATAATGACAGTTCTCTGTGTATTTTAAAATATACAGACTGAAAGAACAAACTCTTCTGTACAAGATGCCCATTGAAACATTGAGTTTAAAGCGTAGTTAATAAAACAGCATGCAAATCTTTTACGGGGACCAGGAAAAAATTTTTGGCCTTGCGCAATCATAAGAGACATGATTACAAGCGAGCAACGAAAAAATAAAATTTTATTGGGAATGGGATCGAGTCCGTAACGAGAAATTGTTTTTACCGGGGCCTGAATCGGAAAAGTTGGTCCTGCACATCTCTAACTAAGACGTATAGATTCGAACGTAAAGGAAAGAATTTTATTTTATTTTTGTGTCAATATGACGTATAAAGTACGGACAGTGTTGCTTTGACATATTCTCACTGAAATCAACTTCTGAATAGACTCATATTCTTCTACCTCAGGGATATCGAAACTTTTTTTTAGAGTGAGCTGCACGCCCGGATACTACAGAGAAGTGAATGCAGTTTTTGTGTACTTAAAAAAGTGAGTACACTTTAGATTCGGTCAGTGTGTCTGTCCGTTCGTTAACACAATAACTTTTGAAAGCCTTATCCAATTGTCATGAAATTTTGTACACAGAATGATCTCATAAATATCTCAGTCGTGTTCGAAGATGAAAGCAATCTGTTTAGAATTTGTTGAGTTATGCAAAAAATATCCTTATTTTCTATGTGATTAGTCACCTATTCTATTTTATTATAGTTTTTCTTAAGTACACATAACATCCGGATGGAAAGAGTAGATGTCTAA